AAAGAACTGTAAGGTCATATTTGAATTATCTAAAGTAAATCAATAAGGAATTATTAAATGTTTTGTTATTTATTTGCATCGTATAAAATTTGTTAAGGTAACACATTCCAAACACTTCTCTTGGTTTCAACAATTTTTTTCTCGGTTGTTTTGTTTTGTTCTTAATGTCAATTTGAGAATTTATTTGAGAGTCTATATCGTCTTTATAAATCATATATTGTGTTTGTAAGTTATACATTTTGAGTAGGCTTCCTATTTACCCATCCCCACTGACCAACTGTAGAAAAGGCTACAAGAACTTCATGATTTGCCGTGTTAGCTTCAACATTGTGATCAGAGGAAGAGACTTTGTCAAATTCAATGAAAACTGGGGAAACGCAGCTGGGGCAAGGGCTTTTAAGAAGAGGAGAACTTCAGGCTGCAGTACACTCAATCAATGGCAAAAGCAGTCCAACATCATCGTCAACCACAGTCGATTCATCATCAATGCTGTCAAGGAACGCTGTATGGACTACAGACTATAGACACCGAAGTGGGAGACATCGCAGAAGACATGGCTGTGGTCAAACATCTGAAGACCAACGACTGTTTGAGGAGGCTTTATCGACGCAACTGCTGAGTAAGTCAGCAAACACTTGGTCAGTTCTTCCCCTCCTAAATCTTATTATCATTTTGTTTAGGTATTATTTTAAAGATTTTTATCAGTTTTTGTTATTAAAATTGTTTTTCTTTGTGGATGTATCTATGTAGTTGAGACGCTGGGGACATCGTCTGGAGGAAATGGGGGGATGTAATAGGAGGGTCAAATATTGTAAAGAGGAAGTGTTTGGAAATGTTATGTGAGTAGGCTGGTAGTGTTGTTAAACAATAACTTGTTGTGCTGACCTACTGAAGGCTGTTGCTTTAAGTAGGCCAGTGCACTTGATCAAGGGGTCAGTTTTGGTGGGTAGTGTTTGTGAGGTGCACCGGAGGACAGGGTCCTGCTGGGGAGCTGGAGCCCAAGGCCTTTGGCCTTGGGTCCAGGTAAGACAATGTAAAAGGTTTTCAAAATGGGGTTTAGAGTCTTTTCCAAATTGGGGGTTAAGCTACTAACTAATTTATACAGTTCCAGTCTACTCTACCTTTTTGATTGTTAGTTTATCTTTGTGTTGTTTTGAGTAATTAATAAAGTTGGGTTTTGTAAGCGAGTGCTGAGTTTCATTCCTGAGCTACGTCACCCAAAGTAACAGTAGGTATTCCAAGAGGAATACGACCGTTACAACGTTGTAGGCTACATCCAGTGTGCTGTTGGAGCTCCGGCCTGTTTACATTAAAACAACAAGCATGCTTATTCATAGTGTCTTATTCAAAAGCCTAAACAGCAACTCAATCTTTTTTTTAGTTTACACGTGTTTGTCATACTAACTGACAAACTTCAACACGTTCCCAATAATCAGTTTTTTTTTTATTTACTAGGAGTAAACTTTATTTCATATCAGTTAAGGTCAATTAAACGTTTTTCTATACAGCTATGTCATAATACTTTATCTATTTATTTTATACTAGCTGTGTGCCCGTTCTACGCACGGGGATCTTATCATAGTCAGTTAAAACCTTCTTATATAAAGCACAGCAGTTGGTTTGCATACTTTCAGATATGCTGACTAAACTATTCCTTCGCAAATACAGTATCTGACAGTTTCAAGCCAAAACTAATGCTTCGCAATTAAATGTCACCCGGATCTTGTTGGTCCATATGTTATATCCAATGATTAAACTAAATAAACGGTATCAGCATTCTGACACATACTTTCTCCCATAAGTTTGTCAACAACCTTTATCATGTGTAAGCGGTGAGAGTAAATATACGGAAATGGGATTTGTACAATTTTGTTCAGAATTTAAAGGACTATAACATAATGGTTAAAAGTATATAACGTACTACCTCAACCTCTTAATTTAACACTTTATTCGGGTTGACATTTTCATTATCAAGGCGCTCTTGTCCTTTCCGTGAAACATTGAGAAATAAGGACATTAATGCGTTACCATCATACATACACACAAAAATACCGAACTTAATTAGGGAATCTGCTACGCTTTAAGCATAAAAAGGTACATATAAAATTAGTACTTGAAATCTTTGTTAATGCCATAAAATTTGATCATAACAATTTATATTGGCTTGGACCGGAGATGACTCGAAATTCTGTCGAAATGCTATCTGAATCGGTTTGCTATATGAAATGAAGTACAGTAGGCCTACTATAGACGATTTAGATTGGTAATTTGTAATAAAAATTACCAAAATAGGCCACGAATTATTGATACATAAACAACGTTCAAAGTGTTTGAACAATTCATGATGGTTTGCTGAATAAATGTTTTACTAAAATGCGTTATAGTTTTCTTAGCATAGCATTTTGGAATCCAGACAGAAAAAGCAAAAATTATACAGTTAAGACATCAATTAAATTGAATAGGCCTACGCCTGTAATAAATAAGGTGCAACACCAACGATAACTAATTTGTAAATTACTGTGATGTGTTGGTACGTAAAAATGATTCTTGCTGCTACTAAAGGTTAAAAGGAAAAGAACCAGTACCGTACCAAAAACCAACGTTTACAGTTAAGAACTGTAGTACAGCCGACCAATTATATGCGTTAATCAAGGTTATTGATCTCTTGGTTTTGGATTTTCTCGTAAAAAGTTATCGGCAATCAAAGTTATTTCCCATTAATTGCTTTATTTGTACACAACTCTTAATGTAAACTTATCGGTGTCAGTTTGAAAAAAAACCTTATACAACATAACTTTCTGTTATTTAATAGATTACGTATTCTCTAAACAATGGTTGCTGGTATATATATTAACATTATAAGGAAATGTGACAAAAATCACACAACGTTGGGTTTTTGGACGTTTATAATTTTATTTCTTAAGTACCTAGGTAGGCCGTGTATTCTATGGAAAAGTACCGGTATCAAGGATCGTTGTCGAAAGGGTTGTTATAAATAATTGGGTTAGCATAGGTACCACACGTACCCAAGAGAAGGGCTATGGGCCTATTGGCTGTATGGTCCAGCGATTGCATCACACGGTGAGTAGGAACTATCGACTTTATATAGTCAATGGTAGGAACAGAAAGTGACACATTGGAAAATCGAGTTCAGCATCATCCGTAAACCTCTGTTACAATCACCCACTGCAGTTGTAATTTTTTGCTTTACACTTTACACAACCGCCATTGAAGAGCCGTCAATGAGTGGAACATTGTTTCTAAGCTATTGGCGACGGTCATTAGTAAATTTAAGTTTCCCAGCCGTATACAACACTGATTCAATCTTGATTCAATGTCTTCTTTCTGGTTATCAAAACTCCAAAACAATTTTATACACATATTTCTGGTTCCTGACCTGGATGATGCCTAGTTATTTAATTTACGGTTACACTATATTATTCCACTTGCGATTAATTAAATCCTTTATGTAATAAAAACGTTTTTAATCTCACTTGGATGGGATTTGCCTTCAAAACGTGATCGGAAATGGTTGTGGTGTTTGTAAACAACATTTGTAAACATTTCAGTGACAGTTAGAAAAAATAATCTTGATCCGAACAGCTGTTCGTTGTTTCATAGATGATTATGTGATACAAATTGGAAGAAAACTTGACAAAAATCGCACAAAACTGCATTTTTGAACGGCCGTAATTTTAATTACAAAGTAGTGAGACCATATTTTAATGGCTAAAGACACTCTCGCCAATCCAGTGAATACATTAAAATGACTTGGGTCTTGATAGGTACTCTCGTTTTCCTGGAGAAGATTGCGTAAAATGCCATCTTGAGTGTGTCAGACAGATAGACAGACAGACAGACAGACAGACAGAAATTTAGATGAGACTTGTTTCGGCTTCTTTAATGTATAAAACGTAAAAATAACCTAAAAATGTATGATTCTGAGCAATGTACAGACAAAACTCAATTTTATTTATATAGATAGATAAATTATATGTTGCTATCATATATTGTCCCCAGTTCATCAATATTTTGCAATGAGCAACAAAAAGATTTTGGGCGACTAGTTTAATAATTCTAATAAGTTATTCTAATCTTTCAACGCGGAAATATATGTGTAAGGCTTGGTATGCGTAAAAACTGATTCAAAATAAATTGCTAATTTAGTGGTAACTACGTGTGGAGGATAAGCCGTTGTCTGGACCGGGGGCGTTGCCGCAGGGAATTGCGTGTGGAGGTTAGGCCGTCGGCTGGACCTAGGACGGTTGCTACAGAGAATTACGTTTGAGGGTAAGCCATCGGCTGGACTGGGGGGGTGTTGCCGCAGCGACTCTCTCCCACTCCACTCAGATAGAGAGAGGGGTAGTCGGCCGTGACGTCACCGTTCGGTAGGGTTTGCAGTCGGGAGTCTTTGCAGTCGGGAGCCCTTGACGCGTTCCCATTGGGATGATTTTACTACATTTCTAATTTCCTCCTCGTCAATCAATTATTGTGGTTCAGGTTTTTATTCTATCATGTAATTGTGGGATGGTGCTTCAATTTGATTGAGGAAAAACTGTGTTGAAAATTTAGTTTCAAAATAAATATTTACAAAAAAACTTTTCCCTGTTTGTAACAACTGTTTCATAGGTAAGTTAATAGTTTGTGGTAGGCATAGGCCTAATGATTTCCGAAATACATTAAACTGATCATTTTCATGATTTGGTATTTGACTCTCAGTATCAATGTCAATGAGTAACTTCATCTACCCACAAAATTCGGTGAACAATATATTTTTGCATATGCAGGGAAATTATTAATGTCTAAAAATTGTTAACTCTAGAGTTAGACTTGACTCTCTTATTTTCAAACAAAACATAATAAATTCAGAACATTACAATTTAAAGATCAAATGGTTGAAACATAAATAGGTATAAACTGCTTGAAGTGAAGATAGATCATACAGTCTAACTTTCAGTTACAGCTTCGATGCCGTTTTGAAAATGAGTTTATTATTTTAGGCAGAAAAAATAAGACAACTCGAAGAAGTACAAAAGAACCTCCAAGAACAACTTCATTCCAAGTGTTTGATGATTGAAAATACAACAGCTGCATTTAATGAACTAAGGAATCAATTGGACAGTTGTCAAGCAGAACTGAAAGTTCTAACTGGTGAAGGAAAGCAATTAAGGACCAAGAACGAAACCTTGAAACAAGATCTATCGACAAGCTTGGTTAAATACATGGAGCTAGAAGTCCAGTTTACTGACTCTTTGAAAAATCTTGCTCATCTTAGGTCTGTTATTGCTGATAAAGAAAATGAGATTGAACATATGAAAATTACGATTGGAAGTTTAACAGAAGAGAACAATGATTGCCAGTCAACAAATGTGCAACAGGTAAGAAATAAAATGTTTACTTCTGTACATTTTTTTATACTATGGTATTAACACTTTCTTTTCTTTCATTAACTTCTTCAAAAGTTTCTGATTCATACTATGTTGGGATTAGTAGGTTTCTAAAGTCGGTTGTCAGTTTGACCGGTTCAAAGCTGAGAATTAAAGGAATATGCCGATTTTGGTTTATTGGTCTTCATGCAATATTTTTTTCCATTGCTGGAGACAATATAGATTTCTTTGCTATCACGTGGGATGTTCAAGATTTTTCTATGATTGAGGAGACGATAATGTCATCGTGATCGCATCGTTGCAATCTCGAATTATAGTCTTGATGTTAAACAGTTTTAGAATTTGATTTATTGTCTTCTCAGTAATTTCTTGGTTCTTCTCGGTAAGTCTTGGTTCTGAACTACGTTTACAACCTGATTCCTAAAACTACTTGTGATATAAGTCTTTTAAACAAATAACTTTAGAAATAACATAGTTTTTTCTGTCCTTGGATTGTAAGCTCACTTTGGTTATAGGCGGAGCAGATCAAGAAACATAAAGCAACTGAGAAGAAACTCCAAGACGATCTGCAGTCTAAGAGTGTAACTATTGAAAATACAACCAGTGCTCTAAATGAACTAAAGGAGCAACTGAAAGTTGGCAAAGAAGAGTTGAAGAGTCAGAGAAGCCAAGTGAAGAAGTTGCAAACTAAGTGTGAGAATACAGAGCATGACCTGTCTGTACAGGTGGCCAAGCGTAAAGAGTTGGAAATTGAATTGTCAAACTCTTTAAATCATATAACTAAACTGAACACCACAATTGGTGAGAAAGACAGACAGATTGATCAAGTGAACGAGTCAATAGAAACTTTGTCAGAAAAGAACAAGTCCTATGAATTGAAAGTCAAAGAACTGGTAAGCCAAGAACGTTTCATATTTCAATCTCTGTGCATTTTAATGATTCCCTAAGTCTTTGGGTGTTTAAATATAGTGATTTATAGTGAATACAATGAGTTGTTTAGAAAAAAATAAGTTTTGCTTTTTTGTTGTTTCTAACCATTGGAGTGAAATCACAGAAATGATGTTGGGTCTCACATATTAAATTAAACTTTCATAGCTTTGTGTTTTAAAACGCCATTTCAATGTCATTCATGCATAGGGATTTAATCGTAGGGATGTTTTGGGTTGGAGATTACTTAACTGCTTTGAAATTAATAGTTGATAACAGAGTAATTTAAATAAATATTAAAAATTAGTCAATTAATTTATTTATGACTACATCTATCAGTACAGTTTAAATGCCTTTTAGAAACCCTAAATACTGTTGATTTTCAAAATGCAATTTATTACATGAAATTGTTACAACTTCTTTTGTACCAGAATCAATATGGTTGGGACCCTGTTCAGACATCGTATTCATTTCATTTCCGATGATTACGGCTACGTGATTTTCTTCTGCCATAATGGAAATATCTGTTATCATCTATTTCAATCGTTGCAACACCTTGCTGTGAATCTTTCGCTTTCACATTCTTCTTACTACACGACGACATTAAAAGAGAACGAACGTAACACCATTAATAATTGGACGCCTTTTATAGGCTTTTGATCTAATATCCTGGTTCCATAAAAAATTCACCTCCAGTTCGCAGATACTTTCCTGGTCATCAAAATTAGTGTACATGATCGGCCGCTCACTGCCTTTAACCTTTCAGAACACATAACTTTGTTATTAATTTAAATACAGTAGGCCGGATAGGGATCATTGGATAATTTAATGGTCTTGGGATTAGCGGAACTCTAGACTCTGATGTATGATGTGTCTAGCCTCTATGATTTACAATAATCCCTTTTTTTCCATTGTCGAACAACAAGTAATTGATTTTTCTGTAATCACGGTATTAAATATTTCTGAGTATTCTGTAATATTGGGTATAACTTCACATTGCCCTCTTGCTTATGGAACTAATTATCTTGCATTCAATTTACGCACAGAGAAGTAAGATACAGAGGAAACATTCAATGGTACACTTAAGTCATGCCTAGCACCAGTTGCTTGTGTCTAGTGCAAATTCTATTGGTCGTCCCCTTCCGCTCTCCTTTCCCAGTTCACCTTTACACTACAGCACTCACGCTGTAGGAAGAGCCTGTGCGCGCTACAACTGCTGTTGTAAAGAATAGCTGTTTGTGCTCATCCTTGCTCGGTACTAGTATATTTCCGCCCCACCATTCCAGAGCTAAAAGCGCACGGTTGTTCCATAAGTGCATGTATTGTATCCTCTGTATCTTACTTCTCTGTTATTTACGTCAACCGGTATTTTAAGTTTGATTGCTGTCTGTTTCAAAGCAGTTTGCGGATATTTTATTGACATTGTAAGCTATTTTTTTATTTAGTTGCTTTTTATAAATACTTATTAGTTCATAATCCTTAACAGTTTTACTTATTGAAATGAATGTAACTAGTAACTTTTTATTTATTATTAAAACCGCCTTGTTTTCACCGTTAAATGCATGGAAGATTATTGAAATTACCATATTTTGTCTATGACACAGTGTTGAAATTTATTAATGAATTATTTATTGAAAGTAAAATGTGGTTCCTACTTATCAGGTTGATGTAATTAAGGAACTCGAACTCAGCGGAAACAAGCTCCAAGACATTATAAATTCAAAAACTTTAGAAGAAGAACACCTCCAAGATATGCTAAATGCAAAGTCAAAATTTAAATCCAAACATATCAGAGCGAATTACAGGGAAAAACTTCAGTATTGAACAGATTTAAGGAAGAATTGGAGTCAAAGTGTGTTCCAATAGACTTTCTGCAAAGTAATTTACAGTCAAGGTCTTCAGATGGGGAAAAACTTCAAAGCGAGTTACATGCAAAGTCTTTGGAAATTGAAAAACTTCAACTTGATTTATTGTCCAACTCCTCGAGATAAACTACAAGGCGAATTGAAAACTACGATTTCACAAAGTCAAGAATATGAAAATGAATTACAGTCAAAAATTTTGGAAATAGAAAATCTACAGCCTCAGTTGAAATCAAACTGTTACACAATGGAGAGTCTTGAAAATACTTTGCAGTCAAAGAGTGCAGAGGTTGATAAATTACAAAGTGATTTACAGACAAAATCTTCTGATTTGGATAAAGTTCAATCAGAATGTGTGTCAAAATCTTTAGAGGTTGAAAGTGTTAAAAGTACAATGAACAATCTTCGTAATCAAATCACAGCAAATGAAGAGGAAATTGAATCGTTGTCAAACCAAGTTTTAGAGGTAAAAGTCAAAAGTTTTGAGAAGCGAGATTTGGAATATAATGGTGTATTGGAGCAGCTGATGGAGTGTCGTGGAGTCATTGAAGAGCTTTATAACACAATTGATGAAAAAGATAAGCGCATTCATCAACTTGACTCAACAGTTTTGGCTCTGTCCAAGGAAAGAACGGAGCTACAATCAACCATCTTTTTACAAGTAATTTTTTTATGTTTCAAGGCATGCAAATTTACACATTTGATATTTTCTCATTGGAACTGGAATAATGCATGAAAAGCTAAGCCTTGTATAAGGAGTGGTTGAATTCATAAAAAATTAAGTCTATCTGCATGAAGCTCAAGAATCTGTGCATGAGTTGAGCAAGTATATTGCATGTTTTATGACCTATAAATGCTATTACTGACATAGTTTTGGTTTTTTAATAACAATTTTTATTTACAGCAATCAATCTTTTATAGTTCACATTGTAAATTTTAACTCCTAGCTGAGCAATTTTTGTAAATTATTTTCCTTGGGAAAGCTTAATCACCACAGCTACGCGAGAAAGTTATCTTTATGTTTCCCATTCATACAACACATTGTTTATACATTTTCTACCCTTCTTATTTACATCTGGGCTTCATTGTCAGTCTGAACTAAACTTTCATTTTTCTTTAAATCTTAAATGGCCATTTTTGATTGCCTTACGTTGTTTGTTATTTTAATAGGCATTTGATTTTATCTTTTAAATGTTTTTGTATGAGCAAAGCCTGTTATTAATGCCTGGGAAAAAATAGATTTAGTAAACTAGATCTTAGTAAAAAACATTTCTTAAACATGTATTTAAATTTTTCTTTAATTATTTGCATGTATTGTATTGTCATTTCAAATGGTCATGTTTTTTCTCTGTGATGGACTTATAAAGTTAGGAATTGAGGATGAAGGGGCAGATACACAAGTAAGTTCGTAAAGGAAAAAGTTCTGCAAAGCTGATAGCATACAAAAACTTATTCTCGACAATGGCAAGTGCGGGGGTTCCTTCTGAACCTGCAAGAATGGTGAACATTTTGTGCTGGAGCGTTTTTCTCAGTAGTGCATCTTATCCTTCTTCCTTAATGTTCCAAGTCAAGTGGTTTTTTGTTAAGAACTTGACTTCGCTAATTGTAACTGTAGGCTGAAAAAATTGTATCGTTATTTTATAAACTAACTCAATTATTTATTTTTAATTTCATTTTATATTGATAAAGTGTAGTAGATTATATTTTTTGCTGAAAAAGAATTGTTTTTTATGTAGTAGGCCTATGTTTGTACGTTGTGCATGAAATATCAGTTTACCAATTTATTAGTATTTTATTTAAATTTTGTTAACTTTTTTAATGCCTTACGGCCATTAAGTTAATTTGTCTAAGTTATTTTCATTGAATTTGGATTGAACATTAATCTTTAATCACTGTTTTAAAGCTTTTAACAAACATGTTTGAATAAATGTTAGCTGATCTTATTAATGTCAATTTTTGCACCTTTTAAAGAAAAAAAAAAGTATTGCTAAAGGATATTAATAAAGCATATTACATAAGAAATTGAAATAACTTAATTTACTTTTCATTAAATTTTGGATTTTGTATGTTAAGAAACGAGTGTGAACATTTTAACTTAATTGTTTTTCTACAGAACATTGTAGCACTCACACAAATTTTGTAGAAGCAGGTAGGCCCACAGGTATCATACATGAGATTTTGTTTGAAAACTACTCAAAATATAAAATTGTTAGGTTTAATTATAGAAAGAGCTAGTTGCCTGAGAGTTAAATACTGTTAATACTGTTAATGAAATGGCGACCATACATAGTAGGTATTTTAAGCCAAGTATGAATGGAGATGAGTGTAGGATGAGTGGCGCGATCTTGTAATCTTGTTAGTGACTAAGGCCGACATTCCTTAGACACAGCTTTTAATTAATAGCCCATACAGCTAATGGCAACTAAGGGACCTACAGTTTATAGTGGAATCCGAACCACATTTTTCCTTGGTATATACGAATTTGTCTAATTATCAGGATAGTACTGCGGATAGTCGTAGTACTCACTCGTGCGGATGTTAATCCACACCAGGGAGTATTGCATCCACAGTGCGTGCCTATAAATATCCACAATTCGTGACCTCCTAGTAGTTGGATTACAGGACGACGCCACCCGTCCCAGTCTTATATCTAAAGATACAGAGGACAGGATAATCAGGCTTACCTTAATAATTGAGGCTGCTTAAAGGGGCCTAAGTCGAGATGGGTCCTTATAGATGAAATTCACAATTTGCCTCCATGTCTTCTAGTATAATCTTTGATCACTTGGAATGGTGTATTTCAGTTTGTTTGGTTCGTATGACTTAAAGTCAGCTGGTGTTACCAGGCCCTTTAAGCATCATAGACAACTAACTGTCAATGCATACAGGCAAACATAACCTCTAAACTTTAACAGTGATTATCTCAAAACATCAGTTTTTGAGATAGGCTCATTTAGCAGCTACAGCCTCAATAATTGTAGGCATCCCTTCACGAAATGAATTGTAGTGAAGTGGGGTGCCTACATTTCTTAAGGTAAGCCTGCCTATCCTGTCCTTTGTCTCCATAAAACATAAAAAGGTCAAAGACAATCACTTTTCTTTTTTTAAGTAATTTGTTTTTGCTGTAGTAAACCACTCTCAATTTAAAATAACTGCCAAGAAGTTGATTTAAGTAAAGAATATAAACTCATAGGAATTTTTTTCCTAATTTAAAAATAAATGACTTGTTTTAAACCCATCAATTCTGTCTATATATATAATTTTTTTTCAGAACATATCTACTCCGGACAGACGAAGGTGGAGTTTTTTTGGCAAACTTGTCAAAAAGGAACCATCTGAGTAAACCTCAGTGCTGATAACATTGCACTCTTATGTTATTTCACTTTTTAAGCAAGTCTTGTCTGCCTTTAAAATTGTTAACAAAGCTATTATCCAAATTAGCATAGGTTTTAAAATTGAAAAGAACGTGTATTGTTTTATCCTACTATAAAATTGTTGTGATTATGTAAACTTGCAAACCACATAGTACCCTATGTGATTGTGTTCTGTGATATAATAAAATTTATTGTAATTATTGTAATGTTGTTTATTCTAAAAGAATATGTTAAGTGAAATGTGATATCTTTTATAACTTAGTGTAGTAATAATTTACAAATAAAAAACTTTTTTAAAACAAAATGTTTTTAAACGCACTGAAAAGTAGTTATTTTTACTTTTTCACCACAAATATTTAATAAAATCCCAATTTTATAATTATTTGCAAATCTACATGGGTTAGGCTTTCTAATGACCCATTAATTAACAAAATCGGTCCAGTAGAAGTCTAGATTTAGTTGTAAAAGTTTAACAAAAATATCCCAAACTTTTCTCATTACTATAAATTCTGAGGTTGCTCAGCTTTTTTGCAAATAACTTTTAAATGGTGAGGAAATCGACCAAAGTGGAAGGTGATATTCTGAAAGGGAATAAAATTTCCTACAAATTGATACCATGCACTTCTTGTAGATGTTAAAAAATGGCAGCTAAAAGTCGCAACCAAATAAAAAGTGTGAAAAACACCATTTTCAATGTATTTCTTATGGAAAACATGTTTTTTTTATTTTTCACCATAAATCATAACAAAAACAAACTTTCATAATTATTTGCAAATCTACATGATTTAAGCTTTCAAACGACCCATTAATTAATAAAATCGGTCCAGCAGAACTCTAGATTTAGTTGTACAAAGATTTTTAAAACTGAATTATATAATAGAACTAGCTGTACCCGCGGGCTTTGCCCCGTTTAGCTTCATATGTGAGCTCGTTCGCATGGCTTAATCACGTCCTGGTTGAAGTTCGTTCGCTACGCTCACTCACCTTTAGGTTGGAGCTCGTTCGCTGCGCTCACACGTCCTGGTTGAAGTTCGTTCGCTACGCTCACTCACCTTTACGGTTGGAGCTCGTTCGCTGCGCTCACTTGCCTTCAGGTTAGCTCGTTCGCTACGCTAACTCGCCTCCCGGTTGAAGTTCGTTCGCTACGCTCACTCACCTTTAGGTTGCAAATTAGCTTGTCATAAATTAAAAAATAATAGTGCTGCACTCTGTTGGTAATCCTTGTAACTTAAATGCTATTGAACATCACAGAACAGAACCAACTTGTTTAATTGAAACAGCTGTTATGATTCATTAATTCCATTTAAATATGAGTACTCTTTAGGTTAACATGGGAAACTCCAGAGCCACTGGGGCGGAGCCCGAGAGTCCGATCAGAATAAAAACCACTTAGTTTTCCTATTTAATGCCTAAAGAATCAGTGTACCAAATTTCAGCCTCCTAGGTAAGTGGGAAGTGGGAGAATTAGTGATGAGTGAGTGAGTGAGTCAGTCAGTCAGTCAGTCAGTCAGTCAGTCAGTGAGGGCTTTGCCTTTTATATATATAGATAGGCTAGATAATCACTGAAAATTGAAGAGCAAAATTTGTATCAACTTTATAAATTTACATCAGCTGTGTTCCTAAATTCACCAGATGTTCTAATTTATTATTTTGAGCAGTCTTTAAAATATTTACTTTGTTTTAGTGAAATATAATTTGTTATAACAGCTGGTTGAATAAAAAATATTCTATAGAACTAGTTAGTTTATTTACTCTGTGATTTTGTCATTGATTATAGGAAATAAGTAAGATTCTATAACCATTGCTGTATATGAATCGTAGCTCACGAATGTTCAAAACAAAGCTTATGAAAATTATTTTACTACTTGACTTTTTGAGGAAAGGTTAGGAAAATAACAATGATCACATGTTTTAATTCATCTTGGAAGCTTTTTCTTTACTATACATTTTGAACTGCTTAGGTTATGCTTGAATTAGTAATAGACACACTATACAGTGTGATAGAAAAGTCCCGAAACGGTTAAATATTTTAAAAAATAATGCAGATAGAGCTAAAATACTTGGTACAAAGTTACAGGGCATAAAACTCTATTTTAACACATATTCAGTGATCCAATAATTCTTCAGGGGGACGGCCCACAAGGAGTCGGAAGAAAATCTTAAATGGAAGCATAGGTCAATATGCACATCAAATTAAAGGTCTATTTTAGTAGAATACAATGCCACAAACTAAAATAGACCTTTAATTTGATGTTCATATTGACCTATGCTTCTATTTAAGATTTTCTTCCGACTCCTTGTGGGCCGTCCCCCTGAAAAGTTATTGAATCACTGAATATGTGTTAAAATAGAGTTTTATGCCTTGTAACTTTGTACCAAGTATTTTAGGTCTATCTGCATTATTTTTTAAAATATTTAACCGTTCCGGGACTTTTCTATCACACAGTATACAGTTTTAATGGACTATTCGATTCCCATACGTAGGACGGGCCAAAAGCTCATTGATTATTAAGATCGAACGTACCTGAAGCCCGCTGCTGAATCACGAATGAACAATAATTATGATTGTAATCGTTGAATTATGCGTGAGTTTAATTGAACCAGGAATTAATACATGTTCCGTGTTTAAGCATCTACGCAACCTAGGTGAATAAGAATAAGAATAAGAATATATTTATTTCCAAAATTACAAATTACAAAAATTACAATCGTGGCTGTAAAGCAAAGTACAAAGGAAAAAAAATCCCCACAAAGACTGTACATCTGCGTGTGGGGAGAGTCTTCTCCGTCGCTCACCACTTCACAGACAAGATAACAAAATAAACAAATAATTATTTAAATAAAAGAAGTATTTTTTTTGCCATCTTGTTGGAAAAAAAACCGAACATGAACAATATTTGAAGTACTTGAATGAGGGTGCCAGTACTGAAGTAGTTTGGTATTTAGCCTAATTTAGTTTTAGAATCGTCATCGACTTTCATTATGCCCTGTACTGGGATCTGATGAGCTCTTCGGCAGCATCATCGCTCAGACCGAGAAGCCAGCGCCCGATCTTTCTGCTGAAAACCGTGACACTGTCTCCCTCCCATTCTCTTATCTGTATAGGGAGATTAGTGCGTATAATGTGGGCTAGATAGTGAGGGGTAAGAAGCTGTGCTTTATTGTTCAATTTGGGAACGGAGATGCCTATGTGTGTTCTAGATCTAGTGTCATAAGAATGTAGCGAATCGGAGAAAATTTTGCTTTTGTTATTTTTTGAAAAGGTTATAACTGTTTTTAGGAATAGTTTCCTGATGTTAAGGACTGGAAAATTTTGAAAAAGTAGGTAGGTGGGGTATCTTTGGTCTTTTTTTAGTATGTGTGTGATTATGGATTTCTGGGTAACAGCAAGAGGAGCCAAGACAGAGGCAGACGCAGCCCCCCACGCAAGTATCCCGTTCTGTAACAATGACTGGACATACGCAAAGTATACACACCTGCAATGGTCCACAGACAGCACACAACCAAGCTGTGAAAAAGCGAAGATCATTTTTCTTAATCTGTTGACGTAATCTACATGTGGAGCCCAGCTAAGTTTGTAGTCAATTATGACCCCAAGGTATTTGTAATTTTCGACTTGCTCAATAATTTCACAATGGCACGGCGCTGTCCATGGACCCCCGCAGCCGTGCAACCTGAGTACTCTATGGCCCGGACCACTGTCGCATCTAAAGTAAATGGGCAGACATTTGGACTTGGACACATTTAAGGATAGTATGTTGTGGTCAAACCATAGTTTGAGCTTGCCCAAGTCGGAGGACGCCCTGTCATATATGGCGTCCCAATTTGGCCCGGAGGAGACTAGAGCCGTATCGTCAGCAAATAGGAACACCTTTCCTTTAATTGATAGATTTGAGATATTGTTAATATATATTAAAAATAAAAGAGGGCCAAGCGTGCTTCCTTGGACAACTCCATAGTTAATGTCTGTGTTGTCACCGTTGACTCCACGTATTGCTACAAACTGTTTTCGACTGTAAAAATAGTTTTCAAACCAAGTTAAGGAAGTATCTTTGACGCCTAGTAAGTTTAGCTTTCTGAGTAATAAATTCCTATCGATAGAATCAAACGCTTTAGCAAGATCCAGGAATGTTATCATAACTTTATTTTTTTTACTGATTTCTTGGGTAATAAAAGTTGTGAGATCAAAGAGTGCATCCAATGTATTTAATCCTTTTCGGAAGCCGTATTGATTTTCTGTAATAATATTCTCTTTCTCCAGATAGTTTAAGAGCTGAATTTTTACCCATTTCTCTAGAATTTTACTTATCACAGGTAACAATGAAATGGGTCTGTAGTTATTAATGACAGAGTTTTGCCCAGATTTGTGTATCGGGATAACCTTAGCTAATTTGAAAATATCAGGAAAGTTCCCAGTGCGTATACTTGTGTTTATTAAGTGCCGAATTGGAATATGAAGGCTTGCATTTTCTTTAATAATTCTGACTGGAATGTCGTCCCAGCCTGGAGCTGAACCTCCCTTGATACTATTTATTAAATTGGAAAGCTGGGGCTCATTGACAGGCACCATCTCAAATACAGAATCAACCGCGTGGTCGGCGTCATCCACCTCCGGTCGTCCCGAAGCCGTAATACCCATTGCCAAATCAGACCCCACAGAAGAGAAAAAATTATTAAATGTGTTACAAATGTGTTTTGTTTCTGGGGGGGTGGCAGTGTCAGAGTTAACATCAAACGCATCAACCGGAAACGGCGCTTTGGCACTTGGTCGGCCAGCCACCTCGTTTACAACTGACCAAAATTTACGAGCGTCACCCGCGGATTCGTCAATTTTGGTTTTGTAATAATTAAACTTTATATGCTTGATTAGGGAATGTAATCTATTGCGATACTGGGTGAATTTATTTCGAAGATACAGGTTGAATGGTTCTTTTTTTAATTGTTTAAAAAGGAGATCCCGCTTTCTTATTGTAGTAATAAGACCACTAGTTATCCAAGGTTTGATTTTTGTATTTTTAGCGTTAATTTTAATATTTAATGATGCGTTTTCAATCACCCTGCCAATTTTTTTTGTAATTTGCTCGGCACAAAAATTCACGTCTTCACTTGCTAGTACTTCTTGCCAGTTTTCAGTTGTTAAAAGGTTATTGACAATTTTCCAGTCGGTCTTTTTGTAAAAAGAAGCTTCCATTTTATCATTATTGTAGTGTTGCTGCTTAGATATTTGTAGTGCAATGGGGTAATGATCAGTTAAACTTGACTGAAGGATTGCTGATTTAGTAAGGATTTTATTAGCAATTTTGACGAAAAAATGGTCAATGCAGGTATTACTAGCAGGTCGTGTTATTGAGTTGATGCAAGGTATAAATCCATATCCATACATTTCGTCTAAGAAGCGCTCTTCTAGACTATTTTGCCCAGGTGCCAAAATGTTGCAATTTGTATCACCAACTAAAACACGAATGCCTCGGAAATCTCGACTTAAGTAATAATGCTCAGAAACACCATTAATGAAGTGCTCAAGACTAGAGCTCGGACTACGATATACGGCTAATATGTCACATGGATTGCCGGCCCAGTCGAAGGTCACTGATAAGGCAGTGGCGACTCCTCCGAGCGACAACTGACTACAGGATGCTGTAATATTACTATCTAAGTAAATAACAATTCCGTCATTTTGGTTTATACTGTTGTACGATCGATAACAATTGTATCCATCAACGCTACAAAGATCACTATCATCACCTAGCCATGCTTCAGATAGAACAAGACAATTAAATTTAATATCTAACCCTTGTAAGAATACTAAGAACTCATCAATGTTTTTACGATAGCTGCGGATGTTAATGTGAATGATTTTGAATTTTGAATGTCCCACTTCAGTACTGAAGTACCCTCTCACATCTTTCAAGTCTTCAATTACCTTAAAGTTATTATTAATTGAGGCTTCATCAAATAAATCTTTGTTGAGGTTTACCATTTCCTCAAAATAAAAATAAAAAATATAATGTAATAATTAATTAAAGAGCAAGTACTTTAAAACAATAACGAGAAAAAATGTATATATATAATCAGGTGGTAGGCAACAGCCAGTGCTAGTCTGCCATCTAGCTAGGCATAAAAAATATGGATTTAAGTATTTATAAACAGACTTCCATAATCCAGACTTCATTCATATTTTGTTCTGACCCTTGCCCTGTCACGTGATGTCTGGCGATTCTTCCCATTCCCCATGTACTCTTCAACCCGGCAACATGTTCTCGCCATTTTCCCTCTAGTTTTTATTTATGTAAATATTCCCATACTTTATTTGTGGCATAAATTGAACTTATATTATCGTATGTTTATCTTATGTATTTATTTGTGACACACCTAACAAAAAAGTGAACTGTGCAAAGTTAAAAACTGTATTCAAACTGTTCTTGGTGCAACTCCTTTTATCTATGGTGCAACTACCGGTCGCGTATGCAAAAGTTGGCCAGCTATCATCAATTGCGTCAACGGTCTACTAGACATCACTTCAGTAAAAAAGAAGGTACCAATTCATGTTTCTTCCTATTTAAAAGTTTATTATTTTGTGCTCACAGTGTGTCTCTAAAACTGATCTTAACATAATATATCTCACACCCCTTCTTTTTATAGAGTCCTCAATATCGAAGTTTACCCCCCAATACGTAAATTTTTGTATTTCTACCATAAATTTTAAATTTACCGCTATCGCGCATGACAACAGTGACGTTTCCTTGACCGTGGGAGACGATAATATGTCTACACACAGCTGCGAGGGATGATCAGAATTTTCCGTGATCGCAGAAGACGATGATATTTATACGGAGCCGCGATCACAGAAGACAATGATTATGTCCACACGACTGTTGCAAGACTGAAGTGACATTACCGCGATTTACATTTTGCGGCAATTGCGGGAGACGATTACGATGTCTTCAAGACCACGGGAGACGATTACGATGTCTACACGACTGCGGGAGACACTATGATTTCTAAACAGCCGCAAGGGATGACCAGAATTATGCTGCGTTCATGCAACACGATGATAATGTCCACACGACCGCAGGAGAAGATAAGAATTTTACCTCATTCATTCGTGGAAGGAGTAATCTAGATTAAAATCAATTAAAAATTCTTTGGGTTAAAAAAGATAACATTTATTTGTATTGCACATTATTTATTAACAAAAAGACTTATGAAACTTATTCAGTACCAATAAATTACTAGGAGGAACAAAACTAAATACTTAAACAGGGTATCTGATAGGTAAACAACAAGATTTAAAAAAATCAAAGAATATTAAAATTAATTGACAATAATTGTTATAAAACTTATAGGAACTGTAAAATATTTTGTGTTAAGAGTATGGATGGAAAATAATGATTACACATGTCTATGCTACTTCATAACAAAAACATTCATTATGTGACATTGAATATCAACTTTATTTACAACAATAATATTTTAAAAAGTTATGAACTATTTATATTCAGCTATCTTAATTTAACACACAATTTATGAGGATAATTTAATTTTTGACATTAATCTCTAGATGTATACAATATTTACACAATAATAACTTAACACAGGTAACATTAATACAACATATAAAACTATGAAATGTAAACTTATAAAATGGTGAAAATCAATAAAATAAGAAAATTTAGCAAACTGCGCGTTTAAATAACTACAAAACAAAAGCAGTTAAATATTTCAAAGTAAACAGTTATAGATGTAACAAAATTATAATTGTATCTAGTATTTTATTTTTGTATATCGAACATAGGATATCTGAAATTCTGATATGAGTTTTTTCCCTAAGCTATCATTCATGTTAAGCCCGCTCACAAAATTCAAGTTATTTGAGGGGAAGTTCCCCCCGCCACTTTTTTGTGCTTAATGTTCTATATTGCAGATGATTGAAGTTTTGGAAAACTTAGCTGATGAAATATTGTTTTAAGGTAGGATCACGTGGAGGGGATAGATTTCTTTCCCTAACCTCCCTAAACTTTGTGAACAGATTTAATATAGTATTAATGGAGGAAAACACAATCTCACAAAAAATTATAAAATTTAAATGTTATGGTTGTAAATTTTAACACAATATTTTGATTCAGCTCATTGTGGAATATTTATTTTGGAGGGTTGATAACATTTGAATGTTTATTTAAAATTTAAAAAAATAGTAAACATTTAATTGTGATTAGATAAGTGAAATATAAAAGCCTTTACTTCCATTCACACACAAGGACACAAAAACACAAACACATATATCACCTCAAAAGAGTTATATAGACTCAGGAAGAACCAAATTGAATATTCTCACCAATAACTCAGAATTTACAGTTTTGACACAGAAAAAGTCCCTCATAAACTAACATAAGTGAAGAAAGTAAAACAGATGCACTGCCCTTAGATTATTATGCACCATGAACAAAAATATCCGCTTCCATGAAGCCTGATTATCATGTAACCACTTAAAAACACAGAAAAGTACTATATAATTTGACAAAATCACAAAACTTAACAATCTAAATTTATTAAATAAATATATATATCAATTTAATAAACAAATATCATACATAACTATGGAAAACTAGAATACATTTGGAATGGAGTTAGTGTAAAGTCGTAAGACATCATAATGATTACACACACACATAACGTTTTATTGTTTTTTCTCACGGTAGTTAAGCTATGGTGTGTATGACTATTTCGTTTTGAAATATTGAGATACTTTGGTTTGCTTGTCAGATTTCCCGTCGGTTTGAGGCTGAGGTTTCAGCCAATCAGAGAAGTGCTTTTCCATCTTGCTACGAGACGACGAGCTCCCTACGTTTACTGTTGGGACGACTTCATGTGGTTGGAGGAACTGTACAAAGTCTCGTAGCTCTGTGAAACTCGAGTGTTCGCTGTAAGGCACTCCTGCAAAGTGTTCAGCAAATGGCGTGAAATGTTCTTAAAAAATAAAATATATTGTAAGTTTGAAATAGATGGTTTTATATTCTTCATCTGCAGTTTATTGAAGACGACAAAAAATGTAGTGAATAGTTGCAAATTTGGAGTATGGAATTTTTAGTCAAACACAGTTCAGCCTGTTGGTCTGTATAATATTGTTGGATATTTAGGCCTACAGTTTTCACAAATACACACATCTAATCAACGTCTGATATTGTAACAGTGTGAGTAAAATGGACAGTCACAATCTCAAACGTATAGGTATTAATGCTGAAACTAGCAAGCAATATTGATTAACTAGGAACATGGTCATGGTAATATTTTTCACAATAAATTTGTTTAATAATTTTTATTAACCTAATACGGAATGGAAGTTCCAGTTAGGTTTTAGTTTAGAACAAATTCTTCAGCTGCAAAATTAATTCGGCCTATAACTGTTTGGAAAAATGATCTGAAGGAATTCAATAAACTTAAGACAAAATTAAATATAAAACTATAAATTACCCTCATCTAGGTGACTTGATGGCTATGAGAGGGTTTAAGATTGTTTGTTTGTTTTGACCTAAGGAATGCCCATGGGGTTCGGGAGAGAGTTTCCAAACACTCAGTGTACACAGGGTTTCACCATAGTATGTTTAATCTATGGTTTCACATAGGCTAGATATTATAATTTTGAGTTTAAAATATGGAAAAACGAGATTACACCTTACTAGCCTTACAACTACTTTGTTTACTTTGTTTGTTGTGTACAACTTACTTTGTTTTACAACTAAAAAGCTTTTTACAGCTTTTCAAATCAACATTTTAGAGCTTGGTGTGTCTGATAGGAAATTCTAAATGCTAAATACAAGTGTACTTGACACTTTTTCCATAAAGTTAGAAATTTGCTAGTAATTTAAATCATGAAAATGAAAATGGCTGTTATTTTGAATTGAACCAAAACATCATTAGAACTATAGAAGTATTTCCCAGAGTTTGGCTGTTTACTTACGGAACACTCTGTATAGCTACTGGTAGCATAAAGCTATAAAGACGATCAACATTAAGTTAGTACTGTAGTAAGTATGTACAGCTTGTGTCATATAAGCTCGGGCAGTATAGGCGGGGGGTGGTTGGAGGTAAGGAAAAGACCGCACTCCAAACATTTTTGCGGACTCACGGGGTTGACTGACCATGTTTCATATACGCATCACTTGAGTTGTGAGAGCAGTTGAAGCAACCCGCATGACGACTAAAAATGTTTTGAAGCAACCCGCATGACGACTAAAAATGTTTTTGAACCAGACTAGTAGTTATCGAAGTGTCAGCTTACGTGTCACAAGGTTTAGTTGTAAACCTACGTTGTTGTAAAACATGTGTTATGTTGTTTTAGTTGTCTTACCGTATATGGTGATGTTGTGATTGGACGTAACCTTAAACTCGTCAGACTTGGAGTTGAGCTCCCAGCCTGTAGGTTTGACTCCAATGACATGGGTGAAGGCTCCAGTCAGAGTGCCCAAGTGTTGTTGAAGACTCTGAGGGTAAAAGATAAAACAAAACTTAACATAACATTAACGATGACTAATACAATAGTTAAATCTTTTAGTTAGCATCTTTTATATCCAGGCCTGCAGTTTGCATGTGACATACCATGGGCCCTAGAGACGATCTCTTCCTTGTGCCTACAAAAACACCTGATACCCAATGCGCCCACCAGGCCCATTATCTAAAGCTGTTTATATGTTTATCCCAATCACAACTATGATCTTTAAGTAGTGATGAACCAGATCGAACTGGTCTAAAGTAGAGCGTGGAACTTCGGTCCCTGTGGCCTCAGTTTTAAATCCTGCCAAATCACAAAATTTTGCTCTTCCCAGGGCGCTAAGTACAAGCCCAGAATTTTTTTTCACATTACTTCAGGCCTACTTCAGGCCTACTTACTTCAGGACCTAGGGGTCTCATTACTTCACTTAGATAAAATCCATTGATGATTTGGTGGAATTTGAAACTAGGACTTCATGGACTGAAGCTCTAACCACTCGACCAGCTCACTCCCCGCCAAATAACCAATAGCTTTTATGCAAGTCATAATGCCGCATCCCTGGTCTAGCCTGAAGTAACATATAAAAAATCCCAGGCTCGTGCCTAGCGTCTTTGGATAAAAAAGAAAAAAAGGCTAGCCTGAAGTAATGTGAAAAACAATCCCGGGCTGGAGCCTAGGATCCTAGAACGAAACATACAGCTAATTAAGGGGCAAATCAATATAATCTACCCTCATCTGCAAGTCCTTCATGGGAAGCACGTGGACGTTGGCGGAACGACAATCCCTGACCAGTCGGGAGTTGATGCGGGGATCGTTGAGGCAAGTGAACACCCTCTGTTTGTCCGGTCTCGCCCAGACTCGCCAATCAAACGCTTCCGCTACTCCGAGGAACACCTTCTCTTTACCTGCAAATCATTAAAGGATTTCAATTGAATACAAAAACTATTATGGGAGCTTCATATATGATCAAAGAAACATTTTAAGAAACTCCTGTGTTCAGGTTTATTGGAGTTACGTACTAACGTAGTCTATGGGTGAACAGTGAACAATAGCATAATGAGGTTTTTACTTGCATTATAGTGGGAGGTTTTGTCGGATTAAAAGGTATGTAAACCTATTTATCATATCTACTGAGTATTTTTAACTCATTGTTATGTTTTAAATAAAGTCACTACTCAAATGATGACGACTAAAGATAATTACGATGTGTAACCTTAAGCCCTTGCACAACACTTATGGAGAATCACAGTGCCCAATACAGTAATTTTGACTGTGTGGCCAATTAGGGATGAGCATTTATGTTTTGTCATCCATCGATGTTTTTAACCACCTATTAAAATATCTATCTATTTCCACAAGTGAATTGTACAGTATGTTTTAGTGAAAATTTGAATGTTGGTCTGAACAAGAAATCGGCCCAATGAGAAGCTGATGAAATATTGAATAAAAATATCACAAACTGGATTATACTTAGACAAGAGTAGAGTGAGGGTTCTAAATTATGTCAACAACCGATTTCATTTGTACATTACATTTCAGCGGCAGCAATCCTGCTTCTGCAAGATAAATTGGGACAGATATTTCGAGTACTGCAGATGTGTAAGAGATACTGCCCATTTAAAATGTAAACTTTTGTGGCTAAGTTAATTAGTGAGGCATTAAACATACTAAAAACTTAAAACAAAATAACATTGATTATCGATGTTCTTGCTGTGAAAACATCAATGTTTTTGCCGGTCGTAATCGATGACGTTATCTGTATATCGATGGTTTTTAACAATGCTACCATCAATGGTTGACCTAACGATGCTCATTCCTACCTTAAATTCCTCTGAAGACACTGTGACCCAATAAAAGCAACCAATGGCTCAGGTGAAACTTTGATTTCTTTGTCAACACTAAATATTTGACTAATTATTCCCTTGGTCAACTTACCTATTGTGTAAGACCCACATACAACCAATGTTCTGGGGTGATCTCTGACATGTTTCCTCACAATCTCTACCACTCTGGCTATAACATTCTCTTGGGTAGGGAAGCAATACTGTGGACTGCAGTAGCTGAAACAATTCCCTTGTATTTGCAAAGTTATTGAAAAACACAAAACTATAAGTTAAGTTTAATTGTCAACATAAATCAACCCAGCAATTGTAATTCTTCAACTTTTATGTCTTTCCTATACTTATGCACTACTGTTACTTTCATGTCCCTTTTATCATGCACTAACTGAACGGTAAAAATGCCACTTGTGCTAGAGCTAATAAAGCCTCGAAACTCGAAACAGATTTAAAAACTAATCAATTACTTACGTGGTGTCCAAAAACAACTTAGAGATGGAGACACTTCGCAACGAAGGGTAGAACGTCATGGCTTTAGAAGCTCGAAAGTCTCCGACGTGTAAGTAGTTTCTACCGTTGGTGAGAGAGAACAGGAACATAGCAGATCCCGGACAACTGTGCAACAGGTTTGTTGATAAATAGTCAAAACAAGCACAAAAATAAAATTGGCAATTCGGTTAGATTAGAATATTCTGAATACTGTAAAGATTTCCAATTTAGTAGGTAGTAGGTTGGGACTTGGGCGAGTAGGACAGAGCACAAAGCAAGGTGAAAATTCTTGTTATTACCAGTAAAGTAGAAATGCCGCTAAAATTAAAAAGAAACAGAAATATTGATAGAAGCCATTTAGATTATGTCATTGTTGCTTCAAGGATTATTGCATAGTTCCCATCAGTTATTCTATTGTTAAGCGAAACCATAGACAAATAAAATAAATATAGACTGTCAAAGGAAGGTTCCACGATGTGCCGCTAGGAGTGCCGTGTAGTTACGGCGCACACTGCTGCAAGCAAGGAGCCGTATGTTACTAGCAGACACTGCAGTGGTGTGCGCTGTAACTAAACGGCACTCCTAGCGGTGAGCGCCAGAACATATGCTAACCGCAGCACTGCTGTCGGTCTAATTTATTCTATTTGTCTTAAGCAAAACTCAATATTATCCAGTATTTTATTGGTGTGGCTTAGGCTAAAATAGGGAGGTAATCTATATATATAATTCCGTAAGTCAAATTTTTGTAAAGAAATTGTGAGTGATTGGATGGCCGTAGAAGGATAGGAGGGGTCTTATTTTAAAGGTCTTGACGTGAATTTTGAGGGAAAACTATTCATTTTTCTTATTTTTTTACCATAAATTCGCAACAGAATAAAACTTTTCCCATTAAAACAACATGGGGTTTAATTTGTTTACATCTTTTGAAATTAAAACAGCTGTGCCACAGACTTATCCAGCTGTGACACATTTGGTTTACTTTTAGCCAGTCAACTATGAAATGTATACTATAATAAAACTGAAATATTGAAGATTAGTCGGAAAAACGTCTGCATTCTTTGTTTATATTTAAATCATATACTCAAGTTTCATTTTTTCATGCTTTTACGTTATTGTCGTGTTAAAGGAATAAACGACATAGAATAAATAATCAAAGAGTCGAAATTAAATCTAACTTCTGTTTTGTTTTTATTTTTAAATCATATGTTCAAGTTTATTTTAAATGATGTTGTTTTCTTTATATTTCTACACATTTTAAGGTTAAGGTTGTGTAAATATATACAACTAAAATAACCTATAAATGTTATTGGTTCTAAAATGGTGTATTTGCATTCCTTCGTAAGTAAATTTTTTTAGTGCAGTGAATATACAACGTAGAGTAATCATATTCGATCATACTTTTATAAAATCACCAGGGATTCAAGATGTTTTGCTATGTAGGCTGCTGGATATATATTCTTTTCATTATAAGTACTGTAATTAATATGAACGCCAGGGGAATACCACAAAGGCGGGGAACTGTTCATAGGAATGACAGTGCGCGTAGGAGAGCAAGAGTAGATAATGACGAACTTGATCAAGATATGTTACAACCCCTTTTTAGGAGACCCATGGTAGACGAGAGAAATGTAAAGATCCATGATGCAGGATTATTGGACCAAGAGTGCATTCAATGTAGTGCTCTTCATTTTAGAGAAGAACTAACGAATAATCATTTTATGACATGTTGCCATAAGGGACTTATTAACCTTCCTCAGTCAAAAACTAATGTAGAACTTAAAAGTTTGTTTGAAGAGAGCCCACAACTGTATAAATTCATTCGACAATGCAACAGTGCGATGGCTTTTGCTTATTTTTCAGCCAGTAAGAAAGATATTCCAGGAAAAGGACCATACTGTTTCAAAATCAAAGGACAGATTTATCGTTCAATCTCAGATTTGCTGCCTCAACATGATGAAGACCCCGTGTATGGCCAATTGTACATTATTGACACATCAACAGCAACAGAAATTCGTCAAAGGCGTCGAGAAAATAGTGACTTAAAACCTGAAATATTGTCAAAACTAGCTGAAATTCTATTAGAAAATCCATTTGCACAAATTTACAAAAGAGCTTCGGAAGAAATGGTTGTACAAGGTGACAGTGAATTAGAACTTAGGTTTGTAGACATGATAAATATGGATCGTCGTAGGTATAATAAGCCTACTGCAGATGAAATTGCAGGCGTCTTCAATTCATCTGAAGGCGAACCTCCAATGAATTTTTTAAATTCCAAACAGGGAAGCTTTTATTTATCCTCATTAACCACAAGACCAAAGCTACCTTAGTAAACCAGTATTTATTCACAAACAATGATATGTTTGCTGCCTTTTCATGTTAAACCACTGGAGTGATTCAAATTATTTATTGAAAATGACATCAACAAAAGCAAACAAAGAACAACAAACTGGTTTTTACACAAAAGATATGGTGTAGGGATGCCTATTCTGACACATAGATAATGTTATTCTGAGTTTGTTTAAATACCGGTATTGCAAAAAGTTGTTTTACATTTAAGCTTTTTAGGGACTTATGTCCCTACAAGCCACTAGTTCTATCTATTTAAAACCAAAACCGACAGATAAAAAACGGGTAAAACTCACAACCAACTCATCACTAGTTTTCTCACTTACTGGTTGGCGTCGAGAGCAGTGACTTCAACTCCACTGATGATTTGAGGCTGATTGAGGTCAATTACTTTCAGCCATTTTTCCTCTACTCGAAGCTTCGTTCGAACTAGGTTTGCTGTAAGTTAAAATTGTAAGAGATCATATTTTAATTTTGGGTGTTTGCCAAAAATTAAGAAGTGTCTTTTTTTAACGTTATTGGTGTGTTGCTTGTTATTTTAAGTTTTTCTAATATTTTGTAATTATATTTTTCATTCTTGATCAAGTATAAACGCATTTTGCCAACTGGCTACCAGTAGATATAGGTTTGTACAAAAACTGACCTTCAACTATGAAAGTTTAGGCTGACATTTGTCACATTGCAAAGGCTATTCTTCTTATCATTGGGCTAACTAATCGAATCCACTGAATCCTTGATTAGCGTTCTTAAGCTTTGTATGCTTCGCATGACACAAGAGTACCTCCTACCTTGATCATATTGGTTTCTTGAACCAATATGATCTAATTGATAATGAACAACATGGTTTCCGTGCTGGTAGATCAACTGTTACATCAGCGGTTAATTTCGTTGAAGCCGTGATAAATTCACTAGATAAGGGTTTAAATTCAGCTGGCATCTTCATGGACATGTCCCAGGCATTTGATAATGTAGACCACCATCAATTAATAGCTAAACTTGATAATTTGGGTATTAAAGGAGTCACTCTCAAATGGTTTAAATCATACTTAGAGGAACGTTACCAATTTGTGGAAATATCAACTTTGTCAAAAAATAACATCATCCAAAAAACAAGATCTAATTTATCAAAGATATCATCTGGTGTCCCACAGGGATCGATTCTTGGTCCTCTTTTATTCATATGTTACCTTAAAAATCTTCCAAATTCTCTAAAAGACCCAGGTAGTAAGATAAGTATATATGCAGATGATATTAATCTTAACACAACTGGGAAATCCCTAACTGATTTAGAAATGTCTGCTAAATCAGAATTAAAAAGTCTGAATCAGTTTTTAAAAGACCATAATTTAGTACTTAATACTAGTAAAACTAATTTCATTCTTTTCAAAACAAAAAGAGACAAAAATGATCAAAGTATTAAGTTAGATATAGATACAAATTCCATTGCTCAAGTTAAAACCTCAAAACTATTGGGTTTGATAATAGATGAGGATTTAAGCTGGAATAAACATGTCGAGTATTTAATAAAAAAACTAAATTCTGGTATATTCGTCCTAAGAACAATGTCATATCTCTGTGAAGGATCAGTACTTAAAATGATATATCATGCTCATATTGAATCACATATTAACTATGGAATTAGTATTTATGGTGGGACAAAGAAAAAGAATTTAAAAAAGATTTTGAAAATACAAAAAAAAAGCTATCAGGATAATACATAAATTAAAATACAACCAGTCCGTCAAATCTTATTTTAAAGGGATGGGCATTTTTACAGTTCACGCCTTATATATTTTTGAAACAATTAAATATTTTTTAAATATTGCTGAGACTCAAGAATTGCCTGTGCATAATTATAATACAAGGGGTAAAAATTATTTAGCTAAAGAAAAACCAAGACTTGAACTTTTTTAAAATAAACCTTCTTATATTGGAAACTATTTTTTTAGAAAACTTCCTAGCTTTTTAAAAAAAGAAAAAGACAAATCTAAATTTATGAAAAATCTGAAGGCATTCTTACTTGACCTTGCACCTTACAAAATAGAAGATTATAGTAATTTCAATTTAAAATAATGTAGCCTATAGTATTTAGTTTAAATGTTCTTATTGCTAATTTAGGTAGTAAGTAACAATAGACACTATTCATGTACGAAAATTTGTACTGTGTGAATAAAGACTCTTTGAATCTTGAATCTTGAATCTCCAGTGCCAAGGTATGCACCAAAACTAGACCCATCCGTTATTGATGAATGGGCTTTTTGAATAAAGGGTCCTGACTCCCAAAACACAGTTTTTCTTAAACGGTAACAAATCTACCATCTTGATTGGTAATGTAATAGTAATAATAACTGTGCATATCCACATTGTCAACCTTAGAGAAATGGAATTCTCTAAAGGCATTTTAAAGACACAATTCTGTCTAACCTGTTTCAGGGACATATTATGTCGGATCTCTGCAGTCTGCAGTATTAAAATAATTCAAAAAACTAAACAGAACTTATTTATGAAAGTTTACCATCTCATACGGAGGTATTCCAAACGTGTGCGACTCTACAGGATCTGGAATCTATAGAACGGAATCTCATAGTGTTTCATTTAACAAACAAATATAAATATGCAAACATTATAATATGTTACCTGTAATCTGGGTGCAGTAGATGGGCTGAGCAAAACTTTTTTTCAGGCCGATGTAGTGATCAGAATGAAAATGGCTGAGAAAATATATCTTGACACCCGGAATGTTCCAGTATTGGAAAGCATCAACAGCAAAAGGGGTGTCTGAAACATTTTAAGATATTCTTTGTAATCTATCCAATCAAATTCTAAACACTTAGTAAAGTACTGAGGTAACTGTGCATTTTCAGCTCTTGTATGTTGTGCCAGAAATGTACTTGTGAGGAACAATGAAGAGCCTGAGCGTCGAGCACTGTGTGGAAATTCCCATCTCACAGGGCACAGGGTTTTCCTTCAACATGAGCGTTGTAGTACAATAGGACGAATGGAGTGGCGTTAGACTTCGCTTTAGACACCACTAAAGTGTACTATTGAATGTTGGTATCTATGAGACGTACAGCTAAAATGTTCTTCATCCTCAGTTTCAATATTTCACCATGTTGCCCAATAACCCGACATTTCTCAAACTCTGCACCTTTCTGGCCCAATCCAGACTATGCCTATTAGGACAAGACTGTGGGGTACTAAAATTAGTTTAAAGGTATTGATTCAGTTGAGAGGTCATATCTTACCGGGAATCTTCTTGTAGAAGGGGCAATTGCGGAATGGTAACATACTGGACGTGTGTGAAGTGTCAGATCCCGAACACGAGCTAACCACAGTCAAACTGTCTTCACTGTCGATTTTCAGGTCCGACGGGTAACAGCTATTCCGCATCTTGCTCAGCAACGACTGCCACTCGGATTTGTCTGAAAATTGTTCGGTTAATTGTACATGAACTTTTTATCCACAAGTATTAAAATTTAACATTTAACAAAATAGCAGGAAACTACATCATTGAAAGAAGGTCATTCTAAAACTAAATTAAACCAATACTTCTAAGGATTTAGAGCGTACAAATTTCCATACTTTTCATATACCACACATTTACACTACTAAAACAATTTGACCACATAAATATTTTACAGTGATCATGAACACAAGCATTTTAAAACAAAATATAAATTTGAAAGTCTATCTACTTATATAATTTACTCGTAAACTTAAATAAAATAAAAGGTTTTAAAGAAACATGTTTGCCTATTAATATATCAGCCTTGACCTTGGCCTTGAACTTGGCGATAGAAGCTACCTTACTGATAACGCCGATGTCAGCTTCGTTTCCTGGATAATTAAGGCTAGGGCAGAGCTGCTCTATTTGAATGGTAAACCTTGGTCAACGGGAAATAAGTTCTGTTCTCTTTGTAATATGGGTGAAATTGAAACCACATTTCATTTCATCGCTATTTGTCCAATTTTAAGTAATCTTAGATTAACATTTTTACACAATAGAGTCCTTTCTGAACGGGATTATATTAGTTTTTTTGTTTTTTTTTTTTAAATGGCAGGGATTGGCGAGCGTTAGTAAATTATTTAAAAAACGCCTGGCAATACAGGTGGATTTTAATACAAGAATTTAACAATTGAGGAAAAAATATCAAAAAAAATTTAAATATCGTACTCTTCCAAACTTCCAAAAAAAAAAAAACAAAAACAAACAAAAAAATGATATAACTAGAGAAACTGGTTGGATTGTATTATATTTCTTAACTTTAAAATATTGGCCATAATTGTTAGTTTTAGGAAAGATTTATAATTTTATTTTAAAGGAATCCAATAACTGTTTTGATTTAGTTTTAGACGTGCCAACCCGGCAGACGACCAAGAGGTCATTGCTGTAGCGCGTAGGCACGTCCCCTGCGTGGGACGAATTATTGTGCACTGGGTATTTTGGAAATAAAGCGCTTTTTCTTTCTTTCTCTTTCTTTCTTTCATATAGATTAATTTTAATGAGTACTTAGGTTTGCTGCTACAGAAAAGAAAATAAGGTTCTTTTTATTGAAAAAGTTGATTGCTTAGTAAATAGTATGAAGGAAACATATTTTCCAAATTCAATTAAAGTATGTCCGTAGATAAGCGAGTTACATTAATTTATTTGTTCTCCATGAGAATAGCATGGTAATTTTAAATTTACTGTACACTTTTTTATTTATTATGTAACCATTAGTCCAACCTTAATCATACTAAATTATTTGTTTTTGTAGCTTTACAATATGGTTTGGAAATAAATGGAATTTTTTTATGGTGAAAAATGGGAAAACAAAAAAACAAAACAAACACAATTTTTACCCCATAAACCCCAGTTTCCATAGTCCGATCATGCTGGTTCGCAAACTCTTTAGAATAAATGTAGGTTTACAGGTGTGCCGTGTGTATGTGCTCAATGCTCAACGGCACTGTTTAATTTGTTGCGTGGTTGGTACTACTGGCCGCGTCTGCTGGACGTTCGTCGGATGACATTTTGTGGCTCCCGTTTTTCAGACTTTGGGTTTGAGATTGTTCCAAAACTACGGGGTTTTCTTCCGGAAGAGTTTTCTTTTGTGAACCCTGAAGTTTTACCTTCATAGGTCCCTTTCCATCATCGTCAGCATGACGTACTTTGGCTAAGAGTTTTCATACCACGGGTAAGTTGAATTCGCCAGGCCTAGTCCTCGCTTATTTCATTTTGTTTCATTTTTCACTGTTTCACTATTGTTCAGAAATGTTTTATAGAGTCATTTTGATGTTTATTGTACTGTTTTCTGAGAGTTTCGAGTCCACTAGATAACACATGTGCATGCCTCGTTGAGTTAACTTTGTCAGTACAAGTGATATTAAAAGTTGAGCCAATTTTCATGTTTAAGGTTAAAAGACCAAGTTAAAGTGTTAACGTCATTTTTGTGTAATTTTTGAGTCATTTTGTGTAATTTCTGTGTTTAACTGTGAGCTGGTCTGGACCCAATCATGTCAAAAGTTTCTAGGCTAGTTCTAATTTTGTTTGTGCTAGTAACTTTTGCTAGCCTAAATTGTTGCTCTGGTCAATTACAGTAGCCTAGCCAAGATAATAACTTAAATATCCATTTTGTTTGTCCTAAACTTGTGAATAGTAAGCAAGCACATTCATGCACTTTTATTCATGTGGGATCATGTTACCTTTCTCTAGAGAACCATGTTGATTAGGCTAGACTACAGAACAACTTTGTAAAAATGTGGTCGCTGACTGCAGGTAAAGAGAATGTTTTACGCCCTTTGAATTATTCAGGCCTAGTGCAACCTAAATATATGGACTCCGAGACATGTTAGCTTAATTAGGCCAGGTCAGTGATCTATACTTTGTATCAGGGTCGGCGACTCCACTTGAAACCTGCCACCATTAGAATGCTAACAACTGCACCACGATGAGCCTTCTCCCGGGCGGATGGGACTGCGTCACACCACTGACTGTGCACCACCACCCACTGATGGTGACACCTACGCAGCTAGGCCTATGTCTACTCCGGCCTAATACCGTGCTGCAGTGTCTGGGAAGCGGCCACCATGATCTCGGCCTACTTCTACTTCCTGCTAACTCACCTGGATACCAGCAAGGTTTTACGGTCAGGTCAGTCCAGTCCATTTGGAGAGTCTCATCCATCATGAAGAAATCTCACTCAACATAGGCTTTTATTTAACTTATATAACAAAATCTGTAATCTTTTTACCTGCAATTTAACTAATTAGTTTTTCCTCTCTAAATTTACTTACTTAATATTTTTTCCAATTTTAAATTCTATTCCTTAATTCTGTTTCACACCCCTTGATTGAGGGTAAAACCCTTTTTTTTTGCCCTTGACGGTTAATTTTAACCGCTTGGAATATATTTTTGCGAGGCGACCACATTTGTTGATATGTGTAAATGTTTTTCATGTTCGTTTAAATGTAAAAATTATTTATTTTAATGTAGGCCTAGGACTAAAGGCATTAAATTAATTGTTTTAAATGATTTTTATAAGGTGGCCACCTAAGCTAATTTGTTTTAAATTTGTTTGAGTCAGTATACTAAATGCTTTTGCAAAATGTCACTTACGCCTAGTGTCACTTAACTCGATTTTCATTTTTAAATTAAATTGTATTTTTATTAAAGAAATTTTTAAATGTTTTAAAAGCTTTAACTTAATTATTATCTTGGCTAGGGCAATGTGTTATTTATTATTGTTATTTAAGAATCATTGTTGCATTTATATGTATATATTAGAATGAATAAATTTAGGGGATTTGTGTCCAGCCAGCTCTTGTGTTGTTATTGTTGGTCCTCCACCTCAGCAATATTGTGCCGGAATCCCACCATTGATTTTGCGCTTCCAAGGGGTTCACCCTTTTGATCAATGGAGTTGGGAATTCGGTTACACAGGTTTATACCAAACTTCATCAAAATCGGATGAAATTTGGTGAAAGAAACATCAAATTTGCCCGAGTTATTGCACTAACGGACACTTAGGCCTATATATGAGTTTGATCGGAGGGTGTTTTTGGCATCTGGGGACCTCAAAACGAAAAAGTAAATTGGTCCCAGGTCTAGGTCTCACCGTGAGACCTACTTTTAGCTTATTTCCTAAATGGAAAATTCACTAAAACTAATGAGCAATATTCATTTCTCACGGGGATTTTTTTACACCTACCATCCTGCAATAAACTAAAAATAAAAACTTTATGAATCCAGTAATTAAGTGGATTAAGATACGTACAGAAAAAAACGGTACATTGGGAGTTCAATGAATATCAGTTATCTTAGCCTTAAAACCTCTTAAACACTGTTATACTTTATTATAGTAGTAAGTTACTTACCATCACTGTCGGTGGTATCAAGCAAACCCAACGTAGAAGCTTTAAATGCCGTTTTGGTTTTCACTGGACTTTTTATTAGCTTAGGCGAAGATTTCTTGGGGGATATTTTTTTACTTCTAAACAGTAATTTTTCCCTCACTGAAATTTCACTACTACTCGAACTACTACTGAGACAAGTACTTTCTTCACTCAAAGACGACAATGATTTTACAACATGTTTTTTACTGGGAGATTTTTTGTCTTTTCTCGGAGATACTTTGGTTCTTCTAGATTTGGATATGGAATTTAAATCCGATTCTTCCGAATAAGACGGGTCTGAAGATCTAGACTCTGAATAAGACTCGCTAGAAGAGTAGGTTGATGATTTGGAGGAAGCCGTCAGCTGATCAGTGGATTGTGCGGAGAGAGCAGAGTCAGAACGCATAGAAGAATTAGTTTTTTCACTGGGTACAAATGAAATATCTGTGTGAGCAGATGATTTTCCCGAGTCTGACTCATTATCAGAAGCTTCCGTAATTGCAGTGTCCATTAAATTGTTGTTTAACAAAGATTTACCATTCAAATACGCTGGTGATTTGCTGGAAATGCGTAGTACCTTACCGGCTTTTACTTTGCCTTTAACACTAGTCATTTTACTCAAAGCTGTCTCTGGTTTTTTCGATACCAGTTTAGACAATGGAATATCAGAGTCAGAACTTGAGCTCAAGAAGTTTGATGACTTCCTCCGAGTAACAACCCTTCTTCGTGAAGTGGGAGGAAGTAGGAACCTTTCGCTGTCACTCTCTCCGTCAGTTTTTTCTTGATCAATTGATGAGACTGTGGAGTTAGTTTCGTTACCTGAATATTCACTACAGCTGTGCACCGTTGTTGCAGGTGAGTCTAATTTTGTCTCTATTGTTTTTAGTAGCTCTTTATCAAGCATAGATCCAGGTATGATGTCATCAAAATCTGTATTGTAGAGTGACCCATTCGCCTCACTTTCAATACCATCTTTTACAGGTTTATTGTTTTTAGTAGTAGAAAAGGGTTTTGATTGTGATAATATCTCGTCATGGACTTTCAATCTTTCAAGGGTCAAAAGAGGTTGTTTAAGAACTAAATTACTATGTTGTACTTTATCATGAACATCCTTAGGACATGAATTTGTCTTTTCACCATTTGTCTTAGAACTTCCTGAATTAAAAATCATAGAAGAGTCTTTTTCCAAATTACCGTTTTGTACTGCATTACACTCTGTAGTAGGCTGGGAATTTAAATTTTCTTCATGTATTTTTACATTATCAAGTGTCAAAACAGGTTTTCTTAACACTACTTTAATTTTTTCCCCAGAAGACTGTTCATTGCTGCTTTCAGACGCTGTTTCAAACTCCGAATCAGCATTGCTTGGTCCAGAAGTTGTAACACTAAGACTAGAAAGTGAAGCAATTGATCTTGACTTTGTAAATCTTAACTCATCACTAGCATTTAAACTAACATTTACTACTGTTGGTTTAATTGTTGATGGCTCACTAAGTTTAGTGTTCTTTTTTCTCTGAGAATCGCCCTTGGGATCACTATCACAGTTTTCTTTCAATATTGTTGTCTCCTCTTCCAGCGGTGAGTCAGTATTCGATTGGTTTGTAATGTTGTCCAATTTTTTCTCTAAGGACACAACCCCTGAGCTAGAGTTATTTTTATTAGAACAAGACTCTTTTATTGGTTTCTCATTAAATTTTAGATTCCTACGTGGTTTTTTAACTTGGACCATAAGCTCAGAATCTGATTCTTCATCGCTTGCAACAACAGTTTTATTGCTATTTGATTTTTTTGGAGTTGATTTTTTCTTCTTCCTGGGTGAAGATCTCTTAGGTTGTTTGGGGGGAGATTTACGTTTCTTGGGAGAGGGTTTTATTTCAATATTTGGAGGTACAAAATCGGATGAAGAACGATATTCAGCCAACAAATTGTGTCTGTAATCTCGGTAGTGGAAAATATCAGTGCTCAAACAGTGGACTCCCTGAGGACATTCTGGAAAAAAATTAACTGATTACAGAATTTATACTAGTACCGTAAGTAAAAATATACAAACATACCCTATTGAACTTTTATACTAATAAAATCTTTCACTTAACACGATCACTGTGAGCGCCAACTTATTTTAAGTCAGCACCACCTTAGCTCTGCTAAGTTTATGTGGAGTGTGCCAACATTAGAAGGCGTTTAAAAACGATCTTAAATGGCTACATTTAAACTAAGCCATTGACGAGGGTAGTTGTTATTGTGAGCGCCACCAGTTTAACACCACCATCTCTTAACGTAGGTAGTACAAATGGCTGCACTTTACTTTAGGGCCTACACTCATTCGAATGAAAAAATTGACTTTTCGATTGTTTTATTCAATATGTCGTTTTGTTAGGTTAGGTTGACCTTGCCTAACTAACCAAACGATATATCAAATGAAACTATCGATTAATCGATATATCGATCGATATTTTTATTCGAATGAGTGTAGGACCTAAAGTAAAGTGATAGCACATGGCATATGGCCTAGCCTAGACATATTAATTATTAGCAATGAAAGTGTTTCAATGCACTTTCACAGAGGTTAAAATGTTGTAAACGCTAGAGAATAACTTCGCTACCCGTTTAAGTTAGGCCTAGGCTACTAGGTCTATTACCAGTGAAGGCGATAAGAGCCCGCGGGCCCCCCGCAAGTTTGTTCACCGGGCCCCCTCCCAATAATCTAAAAAAATATTATATCACATGAACCGCCTAAACTTGCACTTAAGCTTGGTACGGCGTCTCCCGAGGCGTCATCATCGTCTTCCATTATGGCGGCAAAATGACCTATGACATCATCAGATAACAACATTATCATCTCCCGCGTTCACGGCCCAATCCCTAATATCTCGCGCCCCGCGACCCGTGGTGACGGGGAAATAATTTTTTCCGCATTCGCGGCAAAATGCTAAATACATCTCGCTCGCAGAAAAACGTCAATAACATCTTCCGCAATCCGGCAAAATATTGAACGTCTCCTGCGGCCATGGAGACAACGTCATCGTCACCCGCAGGGAAATGTTATTGTCAATATCCGTGATCGTGGCAAAAACGTAGGCCTAATCTTTCAATTTCGTCAGCGTGATCCTCGCGGACATAAAAGCTTTAATTTTAATTGGGCATTATTGTACTGAGAAAATCGGCTTGAGCTTGATTTTCTGACTTTGTGCTTGATCCCTCAAGCTTATATATAGGCTCTGCTTGAGTGCTCGGCTCGAAAATCAACATTATATAAAAATCAACAGTTTCCAAAGCAAACCGATCTTGAACCGCCTAGGTAAAATTTTTTACCTGACTCGAAGTAAACAAATCTAAAGTGCGAAGTAAACAAACCTAAAGTGCAGCCTCCTAATAGTAAGAAATGAAGTGAAATGAAAATCCTTCTTTAGCGTCAATGAAAGAATGGAATTATTTATTAGCTAGTGCATCAGGCACCTAGGTTAATTCGCCGATTTGATCGTAAAGAATTGTCAAATTTATTAAGTTAAATCAGCATTGAGGGCCCTCTCTGGTGTGCCCTACCGGGGCCTAGGAGGATTAACATTAATGTTTTATCCTCCTAGGCCGGGGACACATTGGTTCTAAATACAGCCCTATTATAAATAGCGCCTTCACGCAGTCCATGAGGACTGTTGATGCAACCATGCAGGACTGATGACAATTCTTTTACTTAGGTTGGTGAGAGTTTATATCAATCAGCCAAAATAATAGTGTCAGTTTTAAGCTGTTGTAAACTACTTGTCCTAGTGACTCTTACTAGGTTTAACAAATTTTCGGCATAAAAAAACTTATGGTCATTTTCATATAAATATTGTTATGATAGGGGGCCTGAAAAATCCCAGTCAGGGCTCACGGGCCCCTATAGCTCGCGGGCCACCCCGCACCACAGGCCCGCTATCGCCGCCACTGTCTATTACAAAGAGGTGAATAATACATTTTTAGCCAAGGATAGTTTTTAGTTTATTATATAAGTCCAGGGCCTAAGAGGGTAACAGTAGGTAAATAAATAGGCTAGGCCTAACCAAACTTATGAGCTTAAACAAAGTTTAGGCGAATTAAGACTAAGAAATAACTAAATTTGTAAGCTTTCAAAATGTGGTATCATAATCTTAAATGTGTAACAAAGTTATCATTTATGCAAAATTAATTATTACGGGTGTATTAAATTGTAATTGTATTGATTGTCACTAACCTTCAAGTTCACCACTATCACTTCTTGACATACACATTGAGACATGCACATCAGGCTGGATGTTGATAGCTTTTAATGGCAATTGGCAAATTGGACAGTAAGTAAATTGATCACACATAGCTAATTATTATTTCATATCCTTAGCTTCAAAATCATTAATAATGTTGTGGATCAGACAAACAGGTTAAGTCTCAGAGAATCTGTCAAAAACGTCAAACGCGCGCAGGCAGACGGCAGACATGAAAACTCACAATCACACAATCACAATACCAAAAAAAAGAAGAAACAAAAATTACAAATCTCCCGCGCCGCCGCGCTGCTTAGCCAGCCCAGACCACAGCGTATTGTTTGGAACTGAAAAGAATTGAGCATTGATCAAAAGCTTTAAGACGTACAGTCATAGTTGTGTAAAATAAAAGTCGAAAGTTAACACTAGTAAGGGAGGCCGAAACTACCAAATCCGCATTCCTCACAATTTGGAATTTCTTCTTTTTAATAGAATAGCACTCACAATACTGTGTGTATCTCACTTGTAAACCTTAATAGCTTCTTGCTTGGTGTATTATTTATAAATACTGTGATTTATCCTTCCTAGTTTATCTTGCATGTAACCATAGATAAAACATAGTCCCTTATTATGATATAACCCTTTCATCTATTTAGATTGCTTGTCTGTATTTTTTATCTCTTAACTTACTCTGCATGAAAATGGCAACTTTAATACTGCCCCTGACGTCCTCATCCCTGACCAACACTGGCGGATAGACTGTGTCATTTGTCAATAAAACATGTTAACACACTATTTACATTTTAGTGTGCAATGGTGGATGGATTTCAATCAGACGATTTAAAATAAACTCCTCAACAGGATGCTGCAAAGAATATACAGGGTATCCTGCTTCAACGTGAGACGGATTATTTGTTATTTGGGAAAAGGAGAGGGATTTTAAGAAAGACCCACTATTATTCATAATTTAAGTTTGTTAAGTTTGACTATTTTAAAAAAATTATTTTAAACCTGTTAAATGTTCAATAAGGGCAGCCTATATTTTGGAATTTTCATGTCAAATTTTAATAATTATAAGTATTGCATCTTATATCTTTTATAATAATAATGACGATGTCAATTACAATAATGTATTGTTTAAAGACTGAATAAATGACTATTCTATTGACTATTCTATTCTATTGATTATACACTTTTAACTTTGCATATAATATGAGGCCATTCACTGGTGCAATGATTTATTTGTGAAAAATTGCATTTTTATTTAACGCCAGACCAAAGCGTGAGCGTCGCATCCCCTCAAGATTTAAAGACTTCCAAAAAAAGATTGTTCTTAATTAGTGGAGGATCTGTCTTTACTACATATTATGTCATTTCAAATAATGGTAAAGACAGATGTTTATTGTTTATGTTTACACTTTTACATTCTTCAAGTTAGTTGTTCATTACAAACTATTATACAAGGCATTTCACTTTTTTTAGTTATTCAATAAATATAGTTTACCTACATCTTATCCAGTGTGAGTATTTGTCGGTAATAATAATACCAGGCCACCCGTTTGAGTCACAACAATTATTCAGTTAGGTTTACAATTACAAAAATAGGGTACTCTTCTGATCATGTTATTTACTTGAAAGGATTATCTATGGAGCTCTCTTTCCATAGTGGAAATAGGTGTGTCATTTTAGGAAGGTGATGTTTGATTCAGTTCAACAAATCACGGTTTTCTTTGTAATTTATATTGTAAACTACAGGTAGGTAAAGAAGATTGACTAAAAGCGTTAAAACGTCTTTTTCATTAAGAATATCAAGTAAATCTCGAGTACCCCTAATTTTGATTTCTCGCCACTCTAAAATATGTTGTTATAGATTCTTTTGAATATATTTTGGCTTCAAATAAACAGAGATTTAAAAAAAAAGTCCACACTTTATCTTTTCAATCTTTTTTTAAGTTTATCTTTTCAAATTGGACCATAGAGTGGTTACAGTAACTGAAAACACACTTAAACGCACGTATGTGTGTTTTCTATAAAACGTATAAACACTACCTACTTCACAACGTTTTGTTTCTAATATGAATCTTTTTTTAATATGCGAGCATGTTTCTTTAAGACCTTTTTTCTCAGCTCGTGTGCACCGTAGGGAAAATCTACACACACTATGTTGGAAAACTATATTCCTGTAGATGTGAAGAATTCCTTTGTAAATTAAAATGGGCTCAAAAATAAGCAGAACAAATGGATATAAATTGTAAAAAATTAACATGGATCTTTTTGGTTGCCATGTTGGTGGCGAAATAACAAAATATAAACAGGAAATCAAAACAAATGGAAGAAATTCCAATCACATGTTTTAATTTCAGTGTGGGGTGGAAACAGAGAATTCTGTACATTACACATTTTTGGTTGAGTTTTCGACCATTGCGCGACCTCTAGTAATACATTATTGTGTAACTATTTTACATAGCTGATCTAAAGACCAGCATTTCTATTTTGATGAAAAAACGTGGAAACCTACGTTTATTTTGAACGAGTTTGGGATTGGAGTACAGGAAAAGTTTTATTGTGGGGTTTTATGGGGTAAAAGTTGGGTTTTACCATTATCAACTCTCTAAACATACACTTTTGAAATGTGTTAAACAATTTTGTAGAGCTTTTAAAACAAAAGTAATTTAGTTTAGTAATGCATTTTTATACCCATCTGTCAAGGAGGAAATTCTACAGAAGCTGTAAATTAAAAATTACATTTTAAAATGTTTTTATTAGCACGCTCTCCTGTCCGGGAAAAATTTTGAAATCAGTTTTAAACTAACTTCTCAATGAGCTATAGTGACTTGAAACTCAAAACATTGCTCACAAATGGATGAGAATGCGATATTAAATCATTTGATTTTCATATTTCCCTTGGGCTGCGCCCCTTGGGCTTACAACGTTTTATTGTTTGCATTTTGGAAAAGTGTAAATAGTAATTAATATTAATTAAAGTAGCTGTAAATACTTAAATTTGACAGGTTCAAAAAGCAGATGTTAAGAGGTACAGGTTCTGCTACCGAGGGATTTTAATATAAACAACATTTCTAAGTAAATAAAAGATATCTGATTACAGAAAAAAAGGTGTCGGTGATCTATTAACAGGCCACATAAAATAGATTTAATATACGATACTTCCACATTAAAGACTAAAAATTAGAAAATAATTTTTAAATAAAAACAACTTTTTAAATAGATCACGTTTTTAACGCACTAAAACGTAGAAAATTATTTATAAATATGTAGAGAGAATAAATAATACTTGTAAGATTTAAAACGAAAAACGTTGGGCGCATGTAATGGATAATAATAAAGACCTGGTATTAGTAAAATTAGCTATTTCATGCGCCCCACGTTTTTTGTTTTAAATATTACAAACATTTAATCTCTCCACATATTTACAAATTGTTTTATACTATTTAGTGCGTTTAAAGACGTAAATTTTTTAAAAAGTTTTTTTTATTTAATTTTTTACATTTATTATTTGAAGGATAAACCAATAAACTGTAGCTTGCTTGTTGATATAATTTGATCAAATTGGGTAATATTTTTATTCATGCTTGACTGTTAACATAAAAAAACTTGTATTTGAAGTATTGCCTTCTTCCCTGAAGCCATAAACCTAAATACACATTTAAACTAATTTTAGTAACCTATAAATTAAATATGATAATTTCTAGGGAATATTTTAGTGTAAATCCAACAAGGCAAATCTTCAGGAAATTTGTTTAGCCTGCAGATTTAATGTGGCAGCGTTATTTTTAATTTCAAGCGAATTTCATCTGGTTTCATGTGTTTTCTAACTAACATACAAAACTTACCTGTTTTTGGTAAAATTATTCCAATGAGACACGTAATCGTGTTTATAAACTACCATGGTAGTATAAAAAAAACAATTTTATTTAAGACTTTTATCGACTGTTTCATTCGATATATCGTTTGCAATATATTAAACTTGCTACAATGCCGTGCTAAAATAATTTTGATATTGGGGTTAGGTTAATTCTCTTGAACATTGGAAATCTGCATCTGACTTGTATTATATATATTAAACATCATACTCATAAGCCAATCGTTGGACCCAGGTAAGGGCCACAACTCTCGGCTTCTCAAATAATAAGTTTCCGACTTACATCGTCACTAACCGACGACGTCGTCTTTCTTTCCTTTCTTCGCCTGGTCTACTGGTCTAAATGCGCTAGTGAACCAAGTGGGGTAGTGTTGTTCGAGCCACCCACAAATCACTGCGAGAACCAGTGGATACAAACGTTTCTTGGGCAACTACCGCGGTTTTAAGCAAAAAGATTGTGCACATTTTAAAACGAATAGCTTATAATCTTCCTTGGTTAAACCATTTTTGTTTCAAATTCTTTATACAATTTCAATTATTAGTAAATAAATAAACATCAGTGGAATGAATGTCTTATTTCGACGGTAGATACATCTAGCGGCGACTTGGCGAACTAGCTGGATCTCGATGGTAGATACACCTAGCGGTGATTGGGCGAACTAGTGAGCGTTGTCGGTCCTTACAGCACAGCTAGCATCACCAGCAGTGAATATTTGAAGATTAGCTTACCACGAATACTAGACCAGACATGGTATAAATCATAAACATAAACAAATTGTGTTACTGGGCCCGAAAGTAAACGTTATTTAACATTTGCTTAAATGGAACTGTCTAAACTATGTTTATGTTATATGATTTGGGCCAGTTTGTCATTTGTTATGTTTATGATCCTCACTGCTTTCTGTTCTAACCAAGCCTAATTGTTGTAATAAGCTATAGTTCCTCGAATTTGAATAATACGCGTGATACTTATCAATGTTTTCGTTACAAAGTAACAGAAACAGCTACCTGCTACAACTAGCGTGATATTTTATAACCGTTACATTAAAAGTAGTCGGAGTTTTTTGCTTGCGTTTGCTCGGTTTTTTTACAGTCAAAAGTCGTTAAAATATCGTTGGAAAACCCCACAATCCTGTAGGATTCAAAGTTTTGACCTCTTTTAATCCATTGAACATTCAAATAGTTTTATCTCTGAATATTAGTCAAATGTAAAACTCAGGTGGATGAATATCTTTACTTACCTTGAATATCTTATACTATTCAAGAATCTTCCCTTCAGGCTTTAATTATTGAACTGCATTAATTTTACTACTTTAAATCTCCCCATCTCATTATTTAATGATAACTCTCATAAATCAACTTATGTCTCGAGAGATTATATAATGACCGAGCTTGATGAAGTGATAACACATAAATTTTTTTAATAATCTATTTTATTTTCACGTAAAAAGCATAGTAGACTAAATGTAGTTACAAATAAGGCAGTACAACAATATTTTGAGTATGTATTTCTATTTTAAGGCAGTGTATATAGCAATTTACATTTTTCATTTTTTTCCTAGATGAAATCAAACAATAATTTTTTTATGAACGAAACTAATTAACATGACAAACTAATTGCGTCTGCCAGTCTAATTAGATGATTTCCACAAATATTAATAGTTATTCTCAAAACTAACATAAAATGCTTATAAACATGATCTAAATTGCAGCTTGTCACTATTTGCGAATCCTAAAATTTTACCCATACTATTGGAGATTTTTTCTTTTACCCTATTGTATCTATTTATAACATTTAAAAATGTATTGTCTATATAAGATTACATTATCAGTCTATGTTCTACTATTTACAAACTGTTTTTTATATACCTGTACTCTAACGAGAACACACTCAAATTAGACATATCCTTTTTAATATCAATATTTTATAGTTACAAGAATATTAAACACAAATTAACCATTAAAAAGACAATTTACTCATTTATAAAACATTTTTCAGAATGCAATATTTATATATTTATAGTTATGTTTATGTTTTTACATTATAAATATAAATTATTTCTTTCTACTGTGTTCGGCTATAATTTGATGTTATGTTAAGCATTACAATTTTTTTTTTATTTCACTACGTTAAGCTAGGTAAGTTATTCTAATTTCAGCTTATCGGTTGGCCTAAAACTATACTATAAATAAAATAGGTAATAGTTTTTACAGGCATCTGACTATGTTTTTTTAACTGTAACTAGTCTGAGAATGGGAATGGATTTATGTAATCCTTGTTCCTCTATAAACCAAAACCTATAAATTTTCATGTTGATTTCAACCCGTTTAAAACTAGGATTTGGATAGTAGTGGATCCTACATCATAATGGATTACAATCCCGTAGAGATCGCGTAATTAATAAGCTTATGGATAAAATATACCTCTTGCACTTACTAAACTTATTACTGTACATGGGGACGATGAAACTGCCCCGATATTTTAGGTAAGTTTTAAATGCTGAAACTGCCCCGCTCATTACAGAGCATCAAGAAGGGTCGCCTCGCCATACCAAAAATGCTGAAATTGCCCCGAGCGCCCGGCCAGGTAGCCGCTACGGGTGTGGGGGAAAGGGAATTGTTTTCCCTGCGTTCTGTCAGTGACTGCAGTCTTATAATAACTACCACTAAATATCAGGAATTACTAGCTTATTTTAGGTTAGGTATTGGTACTACAAAAACAAAAAGAGGGAATTATTGTTGTTCCTGCGTTCTGTCAGTGACTGCAGTCTTCTAATAACTACCACCAATATCAGGAATTTCTAGCTTTTTCAGGTTAGGTTAGGTTAGGTTGGGTTAGGTTAGGTTAGGTTAGGTTAGGTTGGGTTAGGTTAGGTTGGGTTAGGTATTGGTACAGAAACAATTGTGGCTTGGCAGGAAAAGCAGTCGACGGCAGCTTTAGAAGACTGCAGTCACTGACAGGACACAGGGACAAAAATAATTTCCTTTTATCCCCAATCCTGTAGCTAATACCTGGCCGGGTGCTCGGGGCAATTTCAGCATTTCTAGTCTTGCGAGGCGACCCTTGCTAATCCTTTTTAATGAGCGGGGCAGTTTCATCGTTTCAAAAGTATCCAAAACGTCGGGGCAGTTTCACTACGCCCACTGTACATACCTCGTCTTGCAGTTCAAATATAGTGTTTGAAGTCCACTACATAATATGTTTCGCCATAATATGGCGAAAAATAAATACTTCAAAAAATATTTACACTATGACACAAAAATAAATAAACAAATAAAAAACATTTATGTGTTGTAGGCCTACATGTTTTTTTTATATTTATTTTGGTGTCATAATGTAAATATTTTTGTATTTAAAGTAACATTTTGACGAATCCAAATTGGATAAAATGTTTCTGTGACCACTTGAGAATGCCATATATGGCGAAACATGTGTAGTGGACTTCAAACACTATATTTGAACTGCAAGACGAGATATGTAATACATTTAGTCTTACTACGCAGTTCAGGGGCTACAAAATGGAATTTATTACACTTACAGCTTCTTAAATGTTCTATTGATAAAAAAAAGTAAGACCATACCTTACCTATAAACATTGAGCTGTAAATTGTGTTGAAAAGGAAAGAGATTTGCCTGTAAAACAAAGATGTTTAAGAGGTTAGGTTTCATATAACTCACTACCTATTTCATTATAAGTCACCATTTTAGTTACAGTTACACTGTTGCGCAGTTCAATTTTTTTGAAAACTCAAAATGTCCTCATGCAATGCAACATATTCTAAACACATCAGATTATCAATTGCCCTTTTCATGTTTCACAATCAAAATCAAAAAATTTAACAAATAACAATTAAAACTTCAACATTCTGGAAGATACTTTGGTGTTGCATTTGAGGTTATGTTTATTTGCCAGACTTCCCTCCATTTTCTGCCCAAGATGGCACCCATTTTCCGTCAGCTGGTTGGCCGTTCTCATTTCGCGCCATCCACCTGTTCCCCAACAGTTGATCAGCTGTTGTGGTATTGTTGTTGGGGTCCTTGAGGACGACGAAGGATTTGTTTTGATTGTCGTCAAAGTTCTCCACAGTCAGGCGGTAGGGAGGGTTGTGAATTGAGGACTCTGTCGTAGTGGACGTCTCGCTGGTGGTGTCTTCGGGGTTACGACACTGCGGAGCCCTGGAAACAAGGATGGTTTTGAGAAAAGTTGAAATGGTGAATCACTAGAGAAAACCTTGTACTAAGAACATCACCTTATGTATAGTGAAATTAAACGTTTTAACCTACTTCCTCAACCTCTACATCTGAAGCTGGAGACTGATCTACTCAGGTTTAGGAGAGAAAAACATGTTGGTTGAAAAGGCTCTTGCTACAATGAAGTCAGTGATTTCTGTTTCTGTTAGATCATATGAGAAAGTCAAATTGTTTTAGTTGGTAGTGTTTGTATATTATATATGTATATTTCATTGGGAGCTTGACTATTTCAATACAATGCAATCTAATTCTGAAATTAAAAACTTTTGACTTATAAGAAAACTAGCGTTACACAAATTATCTAAAATGGCAAAATACACCTTAGAAAGTGTTTTAAACGTGCTACTTCATTTGTAAGCACGCTAACGTTGCAATCATTTTTGTACATGTTTATTTTAATTAATTTTAGCCTCGCCAATAATTATGCTATAGTACCACGAACCCTAGTGGAATTACGTATCAATTGGTTAATGTACAGTTTGATTTACAAATGCATTGTGTTATAATATATTTACTTACAACAATTCCAAACTTTTGGACCCATTTCCAAAGAAATAACAAGTATCCTGTGTTTATTTGGAAACTATTTGAACAGATTTTATCATGAAATCTCTTTTAGATTGTTCGAATTGCATTGTTTGGTTCTAAAATAAATCTCCAAGAAGGCTTATTTAAGCTTAACTAGGAGACGTATAAACGCATTAATTCACAATTTTAACATTGCTTTGAAATATTCCATTAATCTATAATGTTGTAATATTTTTATGTGGTGATCATTAGTTACTTTAAAACTAGGTAACTTGTAGAGGAAATCCTCTTTGGATAACGTTAACATAATTTATTAATCAAGATATAATGGATCGATCATTCTTCATAAGAGAACAATAAGCCATTTGACGTACATTGGCAAGGCAAGGAAAGGTTGGCGTGCGAACAGTAAAAGGGGGATGTTGGGGGGGGGAGGGGGTGACGAAGTACTGATAAACTGATAAGGCGCCCTTGTAAGACATGCGGTTAAGCTTTAACAGAAGTCGACCCGGGTCAGGGTCATTGCTATTCTTACGACGTCATAACGTAACTATTCTGCATCGTAAGTAAATTCTCATTAGTAAAATGAAAGGTGTGGCACTTTTGAAGTGGCAAAAGAGTAGGACTTGTTAAGGCCACTGGGTCAGACCAAATCAATTGCCAATTACCTCTATAAAGTGACACGGTGGTTCGGAAGTTTAACTAAAATAAATATAGATCTTATCTGGAAGCGAGGAGGGCTTTATCTGGGTTGGAGACTTCTTAACTCAACTGAGAGACTTAGTTTTTTGTTTTCTTGATATTTCACCTACAACCTTAAGATAAACAGCTTTTTTAGGCTCCAAACTACCAGCTCACGCCATTATTTAATGAACACCATTGGTCGCTGGGGAGATCCAAACGTAGAAAATCTCGTTCTCTAACCAATTTTAAGTAGAGAAAAATACAAATGCATTAAAACAAGTTAGTTAACTGATGCGATACATTTAACTACTTTATTTTGATATGTATGGCTGAAGAGACTCGAGAATATCTTTTTGAACCATTCCATGATGATTCCAAGGATACAGTATTTGGGATCTCTGATCAACCTGAAAATTCAAAGAAACTGCTCACGATGTTTTGTGAGTTAGGTTAGGAAATACTTAGGAAAAAACGCACCTCTTCTTGTCCTCTCCAGGGAAAGATACTGTCTTGCCAGGGTTGGAGACAGTGATGACCTTGAACGCTTGTTTGGGGTCCGAGAAGTTGGCCTTGTACTCCGGCTCGGCCTCCAGAGCTCCCTCCATCTTGAGGTTGGTGATGGGACGTCTCGAAGGAGCTGGTCGGGCGTCGTGTCGCACATACTGCTCCTTGGTCTCACTGGACTGCTCCAACAACGATAGATGGGTATATTACTGGATTTTAGAATAAACTACTCGTTCCCTTCAACATAAGCTCTTCAATCAAGCACATACCCTACGAAATTCAAAAATCATTGATAGAAATATGGTATAAATCTTGTAGGTCCAACAAATTATTATACGAAAAAACTAAAATGAGTGAACATGTCTATGAAACATTTTTATGTTTCAGCTAAAAATTTGTATGTACTGTACTATTGAATTTTAAATTAGCAGGATATTATCATTGACTTTTAGATCAATATGACCGAATTCGAATCAATCCTACCTTAGACATATGCCCATGAGGTTTATCAAGCTGCTCTCTGGGACGGCTGACCACTGGCCTCTCTCGAGGATGGTTGAGGTAGGAAGACCTGTACTCCGGATCAGACTCAATCCTTCCATCGAATTTCTTGAGGACGTCCTCCGGTCTTTGGATTGTCGGTCGTTGGGTGTCAGTTTGGAAGTACTGTGAGTTCTCTGTAGAAATCTGTAGCGCACCTTCTGGTTTCAGGTTGGTGTTTGTTCTATGAAGTAAAGGACGGTCTCTAGGAAAGTCTTTGTATTCCAAGCCTTTTTCAGTGACTTTTTCAATTTCCCCTTCAGGCTTGAGGTTTGTGTCTGTTCTGTGCAAAACTGGTCTACCTCTCGGGAAATTTGTGTACTCAGCACTCTCAGTCTTTGTCTCAAGATTACCTTCCTGTTTTAAATGAGCTTCTTGTCTCTTAACCACAGGGCGTTCTCGTGGAAAGTCCGGGAATTCTGATCTGTGCACAGAAGTCTTTTCCATTTCACCTTCTTGTTTTAAATGTGCTTCCTGCTTTTTGACGACGGGCCGTTCACGTGGAAAATCTACAAACTCCGAGCGAATCTCTGTTTCCTTAGCAAACTCTCCTTCTTGCTTTAACGTAGCTTTTTGTCTCTTTACAACAGGCCTTTCTCTGGGAAAATCGACGAATTCCGACCTGATTTCTGTCGAATCTCGGAATTCTCCCTCGGGTTTTAAATGCGCATCGTGCCTTTTTGCGATGTGTCTTTCTCTCGGAAAATCCTTGAATTCCGATCTGAGCTCGGTTTCGTCTACAAAATCCCCTTCGGGTTTAAGGTGTGCATCGTGTCTTCTTGCTATATGTCTCTCTCTTGGGAAGTCTTTATATTCGGATCTCAATTCCGTTTCATCTGAAAAGTCCCCTTCAGGTTTCAAGTGAGCTTCTTGCCGTTTGACCGTGGGTCTTTCACGTGGAAAATCTGGAAATTCCGATCTCAAAACTGAAGTTTTCTCAAATTCTCCTTCAGGTTTCAGGTTTCCTTCGTGTCTCTTAGCTACGTATCGCTCTCTAGGATATTCAATATACTTTTCTCTATACTCAGGAGAATACTCTCGGCCGCCCTCCATGTTTAGGTTCCCGGACGGTCTATGAGGGCCTTGCTTGGACACACCGTCGTATTTCTTGTACTGGGAAGACTTTTCAGTAGTAAGGCTCATTTCTCCCTCGTGGACTATCAGGTTCCCTTGTCTCCTAATGGGGTCAGTTCTAGCTCCAGCAGGTCGCACGATGTATGACTCCGTAGTCTCGGTGGATCTGTCAAACCCTCCTTCCATATGCAAAGTGGTCGGCCTTCTTAGCAGCACGGGTCTTCTCCCCTCTTTCTGGACAAACTGGTCCCTCTGCTCGCTAACTCTTCCCAAAAAATCACCTTCTAATACAATATTTGGTTGCCTTCGTAGAAGTTCTGCACGGCGGTATTCTAAATACCGAATGTACTGTGCGTGTATCTCCGATATCTTTTGGAGGTCGTCATCCCCTAGAATGGGAAACTGCCCCTCGGGTCTCTTGAACCTCGGTCGGTGTCTAGGAAGATCTACGTACTTCTCGCGGTACTCTGGGTTAAAGGAGAAGTCTCCCTCTATCCTCAGGTAGTCCTGCCGCTTCTTTGCTCGTCTGAGAGCGTTGTCTAGGTCGGTAAAGTAGCTTTTGAAGGCACGCCTGTACTCGGTTTTGAAGAAGGTAAATTTTCCGGAGCTCGGTCGTAAGTTGTCCGTGGGTTTTTGGAAGTGACGGCGGCGGAACTGAGCAAGCTGGTCGACGGTGATGCCTGGGGGGAAGGGGAGCCTCCAGTAGTGTGTACGGTCGAAGTCAGCTGACCGGGGGCTTGGCCGAGGCCGGGGCGTCACCTTCAGTCGGTACGGCCCTCGGCTGGAACAAACGGGAGAATACAATGAATACTCCAGTAACTAATATTACAAAAAAATAGCTTTCCACCGTGACTTTAAACATTTTCCCTTTAGACCCCAACCGTTTTAATTTTAACTAGTAGTTAAACTAACTAAACTAAAAAAATATAATCTAGGTGTCATAAGTTCCCTGTACACATCTCCTGTAGGACATTCCCCTTGGTTTTTATTTTCAATGATTTGATTCCTTCCGAAGTTTGAACTCTGTAGAAACAGCAATAATTGTGTAAGTAATTACTGGTTTATTTAGATACATCCCAGCTATGTTGAAGGCTACCCTTTTTGGAATGAATGCATAGGAAACGTATTTCTTAAAGAAATCAATGCAAACATAGAACAGACAAGAATCAGAGAAGGTAAAAGACAGAGATTGATTTAAGAATTTAACATAGTTTTCACTTAGGTTTGCATGTGGCATGCAACCGGATACAGGTCCATTTAAGATTCTGCCATCGTAAAGTACCATTGATCCACATGTAATGTGCAGGAATCGGAGTAGGGTTGTGTTATACATGGTATACATTTGATCTAACCAAACGTAAAATCCATGAACACATGGCTGCAATCTTATCCATTTAGTCTTCTTACAGTTAATTTTTCGTGTAACACAATCCTAAAAGCCCACTATCCTGTAAAATGGAACAAAACAAGAAAACTGAGATATATTGTAATTTGTAGCTTGAATGCAGAAGTATCTTAGAGGGTACAAAGTGCGTGCGAACGCAACAAGTTCAGGCACTGCGTGGCACCACGCATTGATCTAGAAGTCGACCTACATCTTGGAAATGGGACACGGGGTACAAGGTACGGGACCAAGTGTTCAAGTAAAAACACCACAAAAACCCATTGAGTTTGATAAATATATCATTTTAAAGTTGGCGATCCATAACCTTGTTTCGACTAATCTTAAAATAAAATAGACTTGGTTTTGACTTAGTTGAACCGTCTTGTCTGGGCGATGTAAGATGCCACCGTTTTGGAGATATTATGTTATAGCCTGTATGATGGAACATGTCTCCTGACTGGGTCTACCTGGTACTGGAAAAGTGGATTAGTACACACGCCAGTTCCAGGGAGGCCAGGGCTGCACTTTACTTTACGTCCTACACTAATTCGAATGAAAATATCGATCGATATATCGATTATTCGATATATCGTTTGGTAAGTTAGGTAAGGTTAACCTAACCTTACCAACCAAACGATATATCGAATGAAACAATCGAATAATCGATATTTTCATTCGGTCGTTTGTAGGACGTAAAGTAAAGTGCAGCCGAAGTTAGGAGACAGGTCTCGTCATACAGGCTATAGACATAAAGTTAAGTATCTGGAACCTTGTTTTGACTCTGCAGGCGTTTGTGATGGAATGGTGAAAGAGCATGTGATAAGAAACATTTAACAACACAAAACAACATTTGAACTGCCATTGAACTTTAAGGCACAATCACATCAAACTGGGTGGATATGTGAAAAGTTTGTGATTGGCTGTTGATTGTAATAGTGATTGAGCCGAACCAGGTGATTGGACGATTGCAAATTATACCTTGTAATAGACTCCACAGATAAGAGAAAAGCTATCAAACTCTTATGGTCGAAACTATATTACACCGCATGCAAATGTGTTACATTGCGGTAAACACGTATTATGTAATTAAAACCATTACTATGTATATTTATGTTTTGTAAACCCTTCCCCCAATTTAAATTTAAAGTGCATCAACCCTAGGCGTAAATTAATAACGATGCTTTATTTTTTCATTAAGATCGATAAGGATTCATTGTTAAGTAAGTTTACATATGTTAAAATTTAATAATTTTCTAGTTTTAAAAATATAAGAAATAGTTTTCACCATGATAAGTGTGCGTTAGAAAACAGCTGTTTGCAAAATTTATCCTGCTTAATTCCGTCTTTTCACAATCAATATTAATTTAACTCAATGTGTTTATATTTGAGTAACGCCAAACATTTTTAATATGCTTTGCTATAGCATTACTGGTGAATAAAAAATCTAAAGATTCCTCATGGATTATACACACAAGGTAAGAAACTAAAAGGCATTCGTTTTGTATATTTAAAGTTTATCGTTAGGTAGATCTAAACAATGGCAATTTCTCTGTCTAAAACAATAAAACATACTCTGAGGTAATGGACACCTTAAATAAATAAGTAAACGTCAGGTTCTAAGAAACGAACAGCGAGGACATTGACCTAGGCCTCACTCCTACAGACTAACAATTGATTGATTGTTTGTTTGATTGATTGTTTCAATCATCGTTGTCGTTTTCCTTCGACCTTCCCAACTGGCGTTTTCTCACGTTTGTTTAATCTGTTTCCTTAGGTAGGATAACATGCATTCTTGTTATACAAATCATTACCACCAACAGAATGTTTACTATAGAATGCACTAAGATCTAAATATGGACCCGGTTGAAATTTTCTTCGTTTTTTTGTCCTCACGTTGTTGTTTGAAATAACGTTAACATGTAGAAAACCCAACATTATTCAATGATTTGACTTTTCTAAAATAATCTCCCACTGCACAAACAATTATAGTTTAGTATATCTTGAACGGACTAAGTCATGAATAAGGTAGGCCTATTCAATTCTGTGTATGAATCACTAACCGTTTCATATGCAATTAAAATATTAATTAATAATTCAAGCGCGTGAATGCTTGAAGAATCTGTGTATGGAAAACATAAAACTAAATATAATACATAAAGTAGTGCCATGTGATGTTTTTATTTATTTACTAGCTGACCCGGCGAACTTCGTATCGCATAAGTTATAGGTTTCCCCTAAGACAGACCGATGGAAAGAAAGTACCGTTACGTTTAATTTTCAAGATGATCTCGTTCGCATCGCTCAATCACGTCCTGGTTGAAGTTAGTTCGCTACGCTCACTCACCTTTGGGTTGGAGCTCGTTCGCTACGCTCACTCACCTTTAGGTTGGAGCTCGTTCGCTACGCTCACTCACCTTTTGGTTGCAAATTAGCTGTTGTCATAAATGTAAAAGAAATAATAGTGCTGCACCCTGTTGGTAATCCTTGTAACTTTAATGCTATTGAACATCATAGAACAGAACAAACTTGTTTAATTGAAACAGCTGTTAAGATTCATTAATTCCATTTCTCATAAGGTTAACATGGGAAACTCCAGAGCCACTGGGGCGGAGCCCTTTTAAGAATTTCGAAACGGGAAATAGTTTACGTCCGATTCGCATACCTACAGAATTTACACACCAAATTTCATAACGATCGGTGAAGTCGTTCCGGAGGAGTTTGCAGACAAACACTGTGACACGAGAATTTTATATATTAGATTGACTATCTCCAAATTTAGTATGAATTTTATACTTCCTCTTTCATACTACTAATATAAAAAAAAAATAACTGTTGAAAGGGACGAAAGTCAAATAACTAAAAGGATAGATTGGTAGTAAAAGGTTATACAATTTGATCTATAAATAGTAATGGGAAATGGTATGGGGGTTAGTTGGAAGGGGGTTAAAACCCAGGGTCATGGACGCACGCTACCCTTGCGTTAGCTTATCTCAGGTTGAACAGCTGATTAAAGGCCTGTCAAGGTTACTGAAACTTTCAATTTTTGGAAAATTCATCAAATGACGTCCATAATCATTATCTTTGAGGTTTCGTTTTTTTTATAAGCATTGACTATGGCCATAAATATGCATCAGCAGCTAAGCAATATAATATTACAGTTAGACCTTTTTTAGCGACGGCTCTATTACTTGATTATGGACACAAGCAGGGTTGATTAATAGACTCTAATTAAGGCTGCCAGTCAATCATACGGTTGAGTGAAGAAGGGGCGTTGCCAGTATAACAGCTGAGATTATTTATACTGTACAGAGCAAGGCGTGATATTGTTCAATGCGTCGTAAGAAATTATGACCGAACAATGTGTTTATTTGCAAAATAATTACTTAGTAGGTATTTGAACATTAGTTACTTGACGGTTGCCCTATCATGAAACTTAGATTGTTTACTCCTTAATAGCCGTAATATACTATATTAAATCGATCAGCTAAGACTATTTTAAAGTTTTTTGTTACTGTTTACTTGTACTGTAACTTGTTATAACCAATTTTGACCGATCCAAATAATAACAATAGACTTTCCTCTGGTTTTAAAACCTATTTGCAAAGCGCAAATTGTAAAATCCTTACTAAAACAAATGAAAAATATTGCACCTAAACTTCACCTAAATTAAGTACACATTATGATAGGATTTAAATTTTGCAATATGGTGCCAAGAATATTTGTACCATTCATAGTCAATAAAGTGACGTATACTCAAATATTTTTCGGCAACGTCATACATGATTTTGTAAACCATCAGTGAATTCGTTTTCTTAGTTCCAATAACATTCTGAATGATTCAATTGTAGCTGCAAGTTATTAAGTATATATGCATACATTACCAAATACCCCACCGCAGCTAACATCAAAGCAAATTCCCATTCTCAAAAGAGTTTCCATTAAACGTTTCCTTAAATATTTTAGATTTCAGATTTAAATTAACATTTAAGGATTAATTAGTGTACATAAAATTTACTGCTGCAGAGAAGGTATGCCTAATAATGTGTGTAAAATGACAATGGTATGAAATAAACAAATTTGCCAGGTTTGTTAAAAATACCCATACAAAAGGTCCCGGGCCTAGTTTTTACCATGAGATCTATGGTGTCCGGACAGTTGCGGACACGGACAATTGGGGAGACGTCTTAAAAGCGGACAATTGGGGACACACGTTCTGGAAAGAGTCTGATTTCCACCTAAAGAACAGATACATATGTACATGGTATATGATTGTAAGACTGATTTCCATCACACTTTACACACTAACCATAAACCTAAGGTTAGGTTAGGTTAGGTTAGTGTGTAAAGTGTGATGGATATCAGTCTTACAATCATATATCATGTATGTATCTGTTCTT